CCCTTAGTCAGAGCTGACCTCTCGTCTGGTGATTTCGCCTGGTTCCGACGCCCACCCCTAGCGGTTGCCTGGTGTCTCGGGGGCAGCGCTTGTTGTGTAAACAGAAAGAAACAAAACACACGCCGCGCCCTTAGCAAGCCGTGGGATACTTTTGATAGGGTCGATGAGCACGGCGGTCGGTCTAGAAGAAAGGCACAGAGTGATATTCGACAAGCAAAGGCCATCTATGCGTCAACTCAACCGGTGCTTGGCTGCCGATGTCTAGCATGAATTGTGGCATGCAGGGCATGACGAGAATAGCAACATGGCCTGCTCTTTCGTGGCCTAGATCGACCCACGAATCCATACCAGACTGGTATGATATCTGGGCAACGCAATCGGCCAGGCGTACCGGCCGCGACAGGGTCTCCTTCCGGCAAAGGTGGGCGATGCAATCCTACTCACAAGTCCTTGATATCCAGGCAAATGTACGTCGTTCAACGTCACTGCGATGGAAAAGCGCAAATGGCGACTCGGCGACTCGGCGGGAGCAGCTGAAACCTGCAGCTCGACTGTGGCGACTATTATGCGCTGGCCGCGTCTAAATTGGACTCATCCGGCTTGCGACGGCATGCCACAAGATCGAGGTCAATGCAGAGACAACTCGCAACGGCGTCCTTGGGGTGGCGCTCGAAGGCACGGTAAAGAGGCAACCGGGAAGCCACAGGGCCGCACAAACAGGCAAAAAAGCTGCACTCCGCCACACGCCTCACCCGCGGCCCATGCACTCACTGGATTGTGAGGCTGGTGACGTGGCATTCAGGTCCGCCAAAGTGGGTCACGGGTGGCTCGTTGCCAACAGCACCGCTGCTCTCTGTGGCTTCCCCCCCCCCCCCCCCGTCTTTGGGGCTCGCAGATCTCAGGGTTTTCCATGGCACAGGTGCTACCTACCACAAATCCCCATCTGTTTCCATGTACTCGGTACTTGCGGCGGTGGAGCTAGGATCGTCTCGCTGACTCCGAGGAACAACTCAACATCTGGGCATCGGGCGCTGAGCACTCCCAACGAACGACCAAGTTCGCCATATCGGACTGCCAGGTCTAGGAGCGAGTCGCTCGTCTAGGTCTGCAGAAGCAGAAGTGAGCCCGAGCAACAATGTCATCATCGAGAATCTTTTTCGCTTTTCCAACACACACACTGGACCCAGCCCGCAGCCCCCTGTCCCTTCTCCAATCGTAACCGCCAGAGATCCCGCAACCAGGGTATCAGTTCAGGTGAACAGGGGTTGTGGCACTTCCATTGGCCCGGTCGATGAGACCGCAGGGATGCACAATCTGTCTAATTGGGTCTAGTGAAGTAACGTGATGAGTCCGAGGTGCGAGCTGCCACAAGCCTTCACACTCTTCCACACCCATCAAAGCGGCTGTTGAAGGAGAGAGGGTCAGAGTTCCCCTCTAGGTAGGTATTCTATCTCTTATCAAACGAATTTGATGTTGTTCTTCCTACGGATCCGCACAGACAAGGAGCAAGGACACACTGCCCGCCCACACCCTCATCCGCAAGTGGCGTATATTTAGAGACGCGGGATTGGCGCGCTGGGTGGAAGCCATAACCGCAACTAATGGCCCGAGAGTACACTTCGAACAGGAATCCTTCTTTTCCTACCACAAAGTTTTGAGGCCCATCACGGGAGGCTGATACATGGGAGTCAGCAACCAGCTGGTCCCTGAGCTTGATGCGTTGGCAACATGACTACTTGATCAGCTCTGTCCCTTTGAGCCTTTACACCTCGATGCAGTGCCCAATCTTTTGGAATTGTCCCGTTGCATCTAGGCTTGTCTACAACGGTGGACGACGGATCGCCACTACTACATCTTGACCGGGAACCAACGCCAACGAACCACCTAGTTGGCAGCTGGTCTACGGGGGGCCTTGCCTCGGAGGGCTTGGCTGAAGTGCAAACGACGGCTCCAAGTGGAACCTCGATCCTTCGTGGTCAGGGCGAATAATCCTTCAGATCTTTACTCGTTGGTCCAGGACTATTCGACCTAGTCAGCTGATACAAGCAAACCAGGCTGGAAGAGGCATGCTTTGCCCTGCAGCTCTACGGCGTGACTTACGGAGTGCTTAACGAGCCTGGCCATGTTGGCCTCCTGTTCCGGACTTGAACCTCGATTCCTTCCTAATTCGAGGTCAATTGCCTTGGGAGTGACTCGCGTCCTGCCTTTAGTATGGCTCTCCGAAAGAGCCTACAGTCTCAAGAGGGGTGACCGGCAGCCCCCTTGGCGTTGGCCGACGATAGTTAGAAGCCCGTCGTTATCTAGCGGCGGGCAGTAGGCGCCGTCTCCCATCTAGCTGGCTAGCTCATCCATCCAGTTGAGAGCTGCTTCTCCATAGCGGAGTGCGGTTCGAGGCTGGCGGGCGAAGGGGTTTGGGTGTTTGTGGAGTGTCTGAGACGACATGTCTTCAGATTAGACCATTATCACATGAAGGGGTTCCGATGCAAACATCTTTTGGGTAAACGGGTTGTGGGTAAAGTACGACTGAATTGTCACATGGGCTTAGCAAACCAGCATTATTCTGGTCTACTCGACGAGTGATTTGCTCTCCTGCAACCGACCAAGAACAGCAGGAGTTGACCTGCCAGCCTTTGCGGCCCCTCTCTGGCATGGCAAGACGACTGACTCTCTTCCCGGGCTCGCGTGTTCGAGCAAGACAGAGTGGATGATCGAGCACAAGACGGCATCACCGCGGCGATGTCATGGCCTTTCCCTTGTCAGCGGCGCCAAACCAGCGACGCGGAAGTCAAACCCATGGCCAGCCCAAGGCTTTTCCAGAGCCCGTTCCTCGCCTGCTTTTGATGGTTTGGTGCAGCTCGTCGGCTGTTCTTCTTGAGGGGTCTTTAGATCGATGTGAGGCTGCCTGAGATGTTGACTCGCGCATCACCGCGCCCCGCTCCCTCCGTGTATGATGGCAGACACACACGATATGTCCGTTCTCATAGAATCTTACAACTTCAAACGAACTCTCCTCCGCTTGCCGCCGAAATGAATGCCGTGGTAACCGTTGCTTCGGTGCTCCTCCTCGGCGCAATGTTGGGGGCCGATGAGACGGTACTGGCCAACACTGTCAGGCAGTCCAGCTCGGCCACATGTCTTGTTCGTGTCCTTTAGCAGTTCATGCATGTTTAGGCGGGAGAAGACGCCGAAAACTGATTCGATGTAGGTCCCGATGTATTGCTGGTTAATACACTAGACAGGCGCCTTCTCCAAGGCTCAAAGCACCGTCCCCCATGTCCAGGAATACAACAAGTACGCAAGAGGGTTCTTGTAAGCTCATGTAGGCGTTGATGAGTATATACCACACGCATTCTATGAATGAAAACCTGACCATCAGTTCCAGAAGCCTCGGTTGCGATCCAGCCGTTGCTTGAGACCGCCGCCACCTGCACCCAGGCCTTGGATATTCCGTCAATAGAAATATTGATACAAGGCAGACCATAAGACAAACCGGGATCCCAAGGGCTTACGAAAACCTTTCAACGGAGTACCTCTTCCAATATCACCGAAAGACCGAGTCTTTTAAGCCTCAGCGGCGTGGACGCAAGCAGATGCAGTCCTGGCATAATGATCTCCAAAGGGACTACTCTCGGTCAGTGGAGGCGTTTTAACAGAAGCAGGCTGCCGCCAAATCCGTAGAATACCGGGCTTATTTGGGGCCATTCATGGGATTCGATACGACATAGAGAGAAGGGCATCGATTCGGGGGTTGGAAAGGGGGAGGGGCGGCGTTGTGCGCGGGTTTTCCCTCGGGCCATGGCGACGCTCTGTGTACAAGGCGGGCAAAACGTCACGTACAAGACCTCGAGATTCACGCTTGGCGCAGCGTGGAACTTTGATGCTGCGACAGGCTGGTATCCTGACCCGTCATCACAAATGATGAGACTATCGACCCGGGCCGGGCCGGGCCGGGTTCGAGGTGCTGGCGCTGCATTTTCTGATCAAGACGGCCTTCATCCATCCAGTCCACGATACTTACTAGCTGTATGGTAAGCATGCGCGGGGAGGGGCTTCATTCCACGAGGAAAGATAGGTGTTGGCGGTCGAAGAACCGTTGGATGCCCAGAGATTGTACGGCACGCACAGGTAAAGAGGGCTTTCAGGACTTGTCATTAATCAAGCCCGCACTCAAGAGACTGCCGGAAGGAACTCATACTGGCCCTCCTTCGTGTACTTACTCATTGGTGTCCCGGTAGGGATGCCGGAGACAAGAAGAGGATTAGTCTTCTGGACGGATGCCAACGCCACCGGACACTTTCGTCTTCTTTTCGTTCGTCTATGGGTTGGCGGGGGGTGTTCTCCTTCTGTTCCAGCCGGTTCGCCATTTCAAATGCTTTTACACATGGGCTTCCTGGTCTGTTGTCTGCTGTCGCTAGTAAAGAGACCCCTAATTGACGTCCATGCTGCCGACTGAGCGAGCCACGGCATCAAGATGTTTAACAGCAGAGGAACACCGGTCTTCAAACCTGGTATTAGCCAGAGAGCTGAATGAAACGTACAAATGGGGAACTGAACAAGTAGCGAAAACGCCTTTCCTTCTGTTGTGGATTACACACAACTTCCATTCACATCGGGGGAATGCCGAGCCTCTCCCCAGGCGTCTGAGTAGAAGCGTGTGGTGGTGCTTCCGGACCAATCAAGTTCTAGTTATTGTTGTTCCAAGTCGCATGTGTATTGAAAAATGTCAATCAATTCACGCAACGGGTTCCCAACTGTCTATATCTTTTCGGGGGGAGGGCAGACTTGAAAGCCAGGCTCCCGGCTTGCGTGTCGCAATGCCATCACTACACAGAAGAGCTGGAACCAATCCGGACCCCACCTTCTAACTGATTCCCTGGCAGCGTGGGAGACCGCCGTATCAAAAGGGGCAAAACGTAGCGACAATTGACCAGCACACAAGGGGAAAAAAGAAAAAAAAGAAAAGAAAAGAGGCTTGTCTCTTGGACAAGAGCAAAAGGGAATGCCCCCTCACGGGATTGAACCGTGGACCTTCGCATGACGAACCGAGTACGAGTGCGACGCTCTACCACTGAGCCAAAGGGGCCGATGTTGAAGATGACAAGTCGAGTCTGATGTGGGTTTATCAAGCAGAGGTACAATTTTCATTTGTCAGGAGATGAGGTTTGCTGCCCTGGTTCGCCCGAGTGGGGTGGGGTACTGCAGAAAAACTCGGCATAGTACGTAGCTGCGCCAAGGTAGCTATGACAGGGGCCGAGCTTGACGACGAAAGAGGACTAACGTGCACTTCAATCTGTCAAGGGATTGCAAAACCACATGTCTCCTAGGGATTCATTCACCAGTGCCACGGGCACAGTCTGGGCTTTGACGAGACATTTCAGATCGATCCACACATCGTTGCTGCACGAGAAGACGAGCATATGTCTTATAACGTTCCAATTCTGTGCGTCTACCTCATCTGTCTCATGATCCATGACGGGCTAGCTAGAATACACCCATACATCTAATATGGGAAGGGAATTATGGATAACAAGCAATTAAAACCGAAAACCGTCCAACTCCGATGAACTTTTTCTCTGGTGTCCCGTTTTTTTCATCCCAAAGATCATTTAGTCAACCTCCTCCATGGCGCTGTCGCCCGTCTCGACTGCAGACGTGTCAGCGGTAGGCGCGCTCTCAGTCTTCTCCTCCTCCTCGTCAATGTTCAGGCCGAGCTGGACAAGCTTGTGGATGCGCTCGGCGAAGCTGGCGGGCTCATCAATAGTGAAGCCCGAGACGAGCAGGGAGGTCTCGAACAGCAGCTGGACAATGGACTTGACGGTGCGGTCGTTCTCGCCGTCGGTCTCGACCTTCTTCTTGAGCTCCTTGATGATGGTGCTCTTGGGGGAGATCTCGAATGTCTTCTTGGAAGACATGTACGAGGACATGGAGGTGTCACGAAGGGCCTGGGCCTTCATGATACGCTCCATGTTGGCAGACCAACCGAACTGGCCGGTGCGGATGGCGCAGGGGGCGCCGGTGAGCTTGTGGGAGACAACGACCTTCTCGACCTTGTCGCCGAGGACGTTCTTCAGGCTCTTGGCCAGACCCTCGTACTCGGCCTCCTCCTTCTCGCGCTGGGCCTTCTCCTCCTCGGTCTCCTCGAGCTCGAAGTCCTTGGTGATGTCGACGAGCTTCTTGCCCTCAAACTCCTTGAGCTGAGTCATGGCGTACTCGTCAATGGGGTCGACGAGGAAGAGAACCTCAAAGTTCTTCTCCTTGAGGGAATCAAGGAAGGGGGACTTGGTGACGGCCTTGATGGACTCGCCGGTGATGTAGTAGATGTTCTTCTGGACCTCGGGCATGCGAGTAACGTAGTCGGTGAGGGAGGTGAGCTCGTCGCCAGACTTGGTGGACTGGAAGCGGAGAAGCTTGGCGAGGATGTTGCGGTTCTGGGAGTCCTCGTGGATTCCGAGCTTGAGGTTCTTGGAGAAGGCAGAGTAGAACTTGTCGAACTGCTCCTTGTCCTCAGCGATCTCCTGGAAGAGCTCGAGAGCCTTCTTGACAATGTTCTTCTTGATGACCTTCATGATCTTGTTCTGCTGGAGGGTCTCACGAGACAGGTTGAGGGGAAGGTCCTCAGAGTCGACAACACCCTTGACGAAGCCGAGCCACTCGGGGATGAGGTCGGTGGCATCGTCGGTGATGAAGACGCGGCGGACGTAGAGCTTGATGTTGTTCTTGGTCTTCTTGGTCTCGAACAGGTCGAAGGGAGCGCGCTTGGGGACGAAGAGGATGGCGCGGAACTCGAGCTGACCCTCGACGGAGAAGTGCTTGACGGCGAGGTGGTCCTCCCAGTCGTTGGAGAGAGACTTGTAGAAGGAGGCGTACTCCTCCTGGCTGATGTCCTGGGGGTTGCGAGTCCAGATGGGCTTCTGCTTGTTGAGCTCCTCCTCCTCGATGGAAGTCTCCTTGACCTTCTTGGTCTTGGGCTTCTTCTCCTTGTTCTCCTCCTCGTCGTCGACCTCCTCGATCTTGGGCTTCTTGTCATCATCCTCGGTGGCCTCGGTGGTCTCAGCCTCCTCATCGGGGACCTCCTTCTCGGTCTCCTTGGTGACGTGGAGGTAGATGGGGTAGGAGATGAATTCGGAGTGCTTCTTGATAACCTCCTTGACCTTGGCCTCGTTGAGGTAGTCGGTCTGCTCTTCCTTCAGGTGAAGGATGATCTTGGTGCCGCGGCCAAGGGGCTCACCCTCGGTGTCGGGGGTGATGGAGAAGGTGCCACCGGCAGAGGACTCCCAGATGTACTGCTCGTCATCGTTGTGCTTGGAGATGACGGTGACCTTGTCGGCAACAAGGTAGGCAGAGTAGAAACCAACACCGAACTGACCGATCATGGAGATGTCGGCACCGGCGGTGAGGGCCTCCATGAACTGCTTGGTGCCGGAACGGGCAATGGTACCGAGATTGTTGACAAGGTCCTGCGAAGGTGGGTCAGCCAACTTGTTCGGATCGGGGTCTGGACCACTAAGAGCGGAAGCAGCAAGGGCGACTTACAGCCTTGGTGAAACCGATACCGGTGTCACGGATGGTAAGGGTCTTGTTCTCCTTGTCGGGGATGATGTCGATTCTCAGGTCCTTGCCCGAGTCGAGCTTGCTGGGGTCGGAGAGGGACTCATAGCGGATCTTGTCCAAGGCATCGGAGGCGTTGGAGACAAGTTCACGCAGGAAGATCTCCTTGTTTGAGTAGACGGTGTTGATGATGAGAGACAGGAGCTGAGAGATCTCAGCCTGAAACTCGAAGGTCTCGGGGTTAGACATTGTGACGGTGGTGGATATGGGTATCTATGGCGTAACGGTCGTAATTCTGACAAGAGATGTTAGCTGGTGTTGTGTTTTGGGCTTAAACGAGTGGTGGTTGGTGCTGAAGGTGACTCTCTTGGGAAGGAGGGGCAGGAAGCAGGGACATGGGCGGGAGGGAGGCGAGACTTGTCACCCGCCCGAGAAGTACAAACGGGAGGAATATCCGTCTTTTCTCGGGAGTTTGGTGCAAGAGCAGTGAATACCAAGACCCCCCCCGCGGACGAGGCTGACGCTGATTTGGCAGCAGCAGAAAGCCAAAATCGAATTGAGAGGGGAAGGAGGTGTGATGTTGGTTGGAGATGCAACACAGCACACACAGCACACACAGCACCGCGGGGAGCAGCAGGCGGGGCAGGGAGGGGGGGGTTTGATGGATGGCGGCGGGACGAGATTTGCTTACCTTCTCAACAAAATGTGGCAGTTCTTTCGCTGCTATGATTGTTGGATGAGTAGGAGAGAAGAGCGGAATTGAAGAAAAAGGGGAGGAGAGAGTTTGTGATGTGAGGAAGGAAAGAAGGTCAGAGATTCGAGGCGACGGTGGAAGAGGAGGAGGCTAAAAAAGAAAAAGCGTCTCGCAGAGAGAGGGACCAAAGCAGCGACGCTCACCCCAGCTCAGAAATTCTATACGATTCCATCACCTCCAGGCCTTCCAGACCCTTCTCTGATTCGCTTGCCCTGCCACCGCAGCAACCGAGCGGTGTACTCTGATTGGTTGATTGGGGGGGGGGGAGAGGTAGGCACACTAGGTACCTTGTGGGACTCTGGAACAGAGGGGGCAGCGGGGGTCCCTTTTTTCCATGGTGCCTTCCACCTTTCAACAGATGGAAAAGAAGAGAATAGGAAGGCACATCTGCCATACCACACCGTTCGTCCCTGCCTTACCAGTACCGGTAAGCCACAGACAGCACAGCGCCTTCCCCCATCTGCCTTCCTGACTTCTTCCTAGGAGCCTCCTGCCTCCTGCCTGTTCGTGTCCTTTCTTTGCCTGCTTGCCTCCCCTCCCCGGTGGAGCAGATGAGCAATGCAGTCAATCGATTGTTCTCTCCTTTTTTTTTTTTCATTATTATTTTTTATTCTTCCATTTTTAGAATACATTTTCCTGGACGACATTCGCAACTGGGTACCCCTCCTTTCTTTCTGCAAACGCCGTCACTCGTTTCCGCTTCTTCTACCATCTGCTAGACTCTTCTCTCTCTCCTCCATTGTCCCGGTGGGGGTTGTTTGCGAGCACCACATCAAGTAAAACATACATCGTACAGGTACTATGCAATACCTGGTGTACATCTCCACGAGGTACCTACTATTGGAATCCGCCTAGGGATGATGGGGCGGAATAAGGCGGCACCGGGGCTGCATGGCTTGCATACATAGGTAGGGAGTAGATGAGGCTATGCACTCCGTCCCCCAACCCGCATCCTGGTGCCTAGCTTGGTTTGGCGCCTGTTCTGACAGCTGAAGGGCCCTGACTGAGGTCGGTTTCTCCCTTCACACCCACCGACGACGAGTCGGCATGGGGAAGACTGAATGAATCTAATCTGCCCCGATGCGGGACATGCCCGCACGTCTGGCAGCGTCCGGGGTGCTGTTGCACGGTCCATATCTTTTTGCAACTTCCCATCTCTATTGAACTCCTAAAGTGAAGCTCGTCTCTCGGTAGCAACACGTACGAAGAAGGATGTAGGCGTAGTTCAAGTCAAATTAGCCAAGGAGTATCCCGCACGTCTGACTGAGTGTTCCAACGCCATCTAGGGAGGGGGGTTCGGCGGACACTTCCAGGCTCCAGCCTGCCTGCGGCGGGTTCGTGGGATCCGCATAGGTACTTACTATCGATGCTTCTAGAACCTACCATATCAAGACCTAAAGGATCCCTTGCCTTGGGGAACTAGACGACACTACCCAAACGACTAGACCGGCCAGCAAATATGACCAAAATATTCTTGCTACTCAAATCCCCTACAGACAAATGGCTTAGTAACGTTTCCTAAACAAAAACGCAACCTGCCTTCCCCCAACCCCAAACGATAACCGCCTCCACCCCAATCACCTCCGGGCAGTGGCCGACCGGATACCGCACCACGTCCACCGCCCGCCCCGCCTCCGCCTCCACAATCTCGGCGAACCTCTCTTGCATTACCGCCGGCACAGTCCAGTTCGCCGCCGTCAACATCTAAGTCTCTCGCGGTCGCTGGGCTCTTCTCTGGCTGTAGTGGCAAGCCATGTATTCGAGTTTGTGACAGGCAATGTGATGATGGGGTTTTTCTTTTCTGCTTGCCGTCTTGAGATCCGTCGTTGATGGGCTTGGTCGGGCCAACGTCCTCGCAATAACCACGCAAAACCTCTCGGGCAACCTACACTACCATTCCCGGTCTGGTGCAACTCCTTCAACACCAAGCGGCCTCTGCCCCCCCTTATGCGACGATCCAAGTTCGTTCCCCAAACCCCTCCCATGCCATCACACCACACCACGCACAACGCCTCGCGCCAATTCCGCACACCTGCCCCTTGTAATTGGCCCCAAGAGATTGGCGGCTCGATTTTCCCTTTTGGACGAGAGTAAGCTACATCAAGGAACAGACGTGGGGGGGGGGGGGGGGGGGGTTGTGTATTTTGATATCGCGAAGCCGCCCTCGAAGCCCCGAACCACGTCGCTGTCGGTGGCCGCGAGCGGGTACCGCGATATCAGGTTCGCGGACTGGATCAATGGCAATCTGCTTTATCGGTTCGGGCTCGGCAGCCTCGCTTTTCCAACCGTGCGTCTAGTGTTAGATCGGAAACAAGGTAAGGCAGATGTCGTTGCAACCCTCGGGATTCGTTCGTAGACCGTCAGCAGAGCTCATGAACCCCCGATGGCACAAAGGGATACCGACTGGTCTTTGAATTAGGCGTGGCGTTCCCTCAATATAGTATACACTTCAATCATCTTTTATACACGGTATGATACACAATGCCACTCAACTTGCCCTCTTTCTCGCTTGATAAGTCCCAACAAAGCCCTCCCCCCCCTCCAACTCTCACTCCTCTCCCTTGACCAAGACGTCTCCCAAGACCCGATACCGCCGGTCAGCGTAGACGAGACCGAACCCCTCCCCCTCACCCCTCAGCACCCCTTCGACTTCCCCCACGACGACGACGTGGTCCCTCACCCTCACCATCCCCTCCCCTAGGGCCCTACACCGCAGCACGTACAGGACCCCCTTGCCCTCCAGCACGGGCGCCGCGCCGTCCTCCTCGCAGACCCCGACGCCGTCCGGCAGCTCGCGGAAGAGCCCCTCGCCGGCGGCGCCGTTGCCCCTCGTGAACCACTCGGCGACGCGCGCGCCCTCGGCGCCCTCAGCCAGGACGTGAATATTGAACAGCCCGCCGCTGCCCTCGTCCTGGATCGCCTGCAGCGTCCGGCTGGGCGTCCGCACGTTGAACGTCACCAGAGGCACGGGCTCCATGCTTAGCGACACGAAGCTCGACATGGTCATCCCCCGCGGCCGGCCCCTCCGGTCCGTCGCCGTGCAGACCACCACCGAGTGCGCCAGCCGCCGCATCACCCCGCGGAGCTGCTCCGGGAGCTCGTCCCCTGCGTTGTGCGTCGACGCCGGCGGCCGCGGGGGCTCAGCGCGCCATGCTGGCGACGATGGCCGTGGGGTCGGCGGGGTGGTGTGTATCGCTCGGCGGGACTCGGCGGTCGAGGGGAGGGAATGGCCGACGACGGGCCATTGAGGACTGCTGAGGGCCTGTATGTGTGCTGTGAATGCGTCAGTGACCGTCGCCAGAAGCTGACAGAGAGAGTGAGGGGGATGGGAGGGGAGGGAGGAGCAGCTTACCGCCTCCGGCCAGGACCATCCGCGCGGCCTCTCCTCCGGTGTTAGCCCGGCCCGCGCGGCGCACCGCCGTCGCAAGCACACGAGCTCGGCTCATTGCATGCGCCGTACCATTTCCCGCCTCTACGGCCCAGGGAAAAAGAGAAAGGTGAAGGAAATGCCCCGGTAGAACAAAGGGGGGGAGGGAATGCGCTTCGTGGCGAACGCGGCCGGGGAAGAGTCGAAGCTGTTTTCTTTGTGTAGGCAGTCTCGGGATGTGCGACAATTTGTTTTCTCAGCGTGGTGAATGGGAGGGAAAACCAATGATCTTGGAAACCTCACTCAAACCCACCCTTGCAATAGCTCGAGCTCCAGTGATGTAGAAGAAAAGCCCCCCAGTGGAAGAAAATCCCTTATCGATAAGAAACAACCGCCCAGCTGAGCCTGGCCAGACCCACCCCGACCGTGCACGGAACTCCCCGGCCCCGACGAGCCGAAATTTTGGTCTCGCTCGCCCAAGGAGTTCGAGATAGACAACGACCCAGACGTGTGTGTAAAGAGCGTGTGTGAGTCTGCGTGTGTGCACATCGCAAAAAGCTTCAATTCTCCCCTCCCCACGACGAAACTTCTCTCCCTACGTCCTCGCCGCGCACCCTCTGTCGCTCAATTCGCGCGTCCCTGGGAAGAGCCATACAAAAAAAAAATGGGCAAGCTCCCAACCCACCTCCCGCGGCCGACGAGCCTCCTCTGCCACCGGCCCAGAACGTCCATCTCGATAACCTCCTCCTGCTCGTCGTCTCCACTACCATACAACGCCTCGACGCCCGTCCAGAGGACGACCCTCATCCAGACCCGCGCCGCCACCTTCGTCCCGCGCGCGCGCCGCCCCTACACCTTCACCCAGCTCATCCAGCTCTCCGACGGGAGCGCCTACACCGTCCGCACCACCTCCCCGGCTGCCCTTGTCCGCTCCGCAAAGGACACGCGCAACCACGCGCTGTGGCTGCCCTCCGAAAAGACGCTCCAGAACGTCGAGCTCGACGAGGCCGGCAAGCTCGCCGCCTTCCGTGAGCGCTTCGGCCGCGGCTTCGACATCGCCGCGGGACCCGCCGCCCAGGAGGAGACCGCCGCGGCTGCCGCCGACGCCGCCGAGGAGAACAAGGCTCCCGTCACCCCCGCCCAGGCCAAGGACGACGTCTTCGACATGGGCGACTTGATCAGCGGGTACGCGGCGTTGGAGCCCAAGAAGGTGTTCAGTGATTCCAAGAAGGGGAGCAGGAAGAAGAAGAATTAAAACAAGGAACCGCGACGGACGACAACATCTCCAAATACACACACAGCGAGAAGCAGAGGAGAGAAGGCTTGTACGATGGGGATAGATGCAATCGGACTCTTGTTTTCTTCATAGCGCCCGCCGGCTTCCTTGTCAGAGAAGAGAAGAGAAGCAAGTGTGGTCGGGAGGCAGGCGGATTACGGGAGAATTATCCCCCAAGGGGATTTTTCCTCTACTGTCATATATGTACAACAACAATAACAACCAAAGAAAAGGCTTTGTCAAAGATGCGCTTGTTCCAACTCCATTCAATGGTCCCAGCTCCCGGCCGACGGGTCAAAGAAGAAGCCGCTGCTGTGACGCGTGGGGATGATGTAGTGAAGCATTGGGCGCTGGATCTCGGGCTTCTAGTCAGAGTCGTCGTTGATTGTGGCACGAGCGCGGTCAATGGCCGTGTCGCCGGGCGGCTTTGAGGATTGGATGACGGGTGGCCGGTAGAAGACGGTCTCGTCATCCTCAGCGTCCAGCTGCATCAGGAACGTCTCCCACTTCTCAATCAACTGTCGCCGTGTTAGTTGCCTGATGACTTGACTTGACTGCCGCAGCATGGGAGTTTACGTACCTCTTTTTGTGCCTCGACCGCGCTCTCCAAGAAAGTCTCGACTCCGCTCTTGAAGTCCTCAACCTTTTCCCGTTCGAAGCGGTCCAGCTCCGCCCTCATCAGGCGGCCCATGTCCTCGAACAGGAGCCTGGCCTGGTGCACCTTGCGCTCCGCGTCACCGACCTCGGCACTAACCTGGTTCAGCCTGTCCTGCTGACTCTTTCCTTGCCGCAGAAGCTTGTCCTGAGTGCTCTTCTTCTTCTGAAGCTCCGACTCGGCAGAGTGCCAAGAGTGGAACGCTTTTTGTCTTTGACTGAAGGCTTGCTTGACCGAGCCAATGAGACGGATGTACTCCTCGATAATGATGCCAAAGGTCAGGACGTCCTGCTGGGCCTGGCGGTCGTAGACATCGCGGATGGTGAGCTGCAGCTCCGAGAGCGCATCGAGAGGTCCTGATAGAGAAGGCGAGAGCTCGACGGTAGACAGGGCGTGGAGGGACGCCGAAAAGTCGCCGGCGGCCTCGGCCATCATCTTACGCTGGCCGACCATGGTCTCCATAGCCTTGAGCAGAGCCTTGAGCTGGTTCTCGAGCGCATCGAGGTAGACCTTGCGGTCATGGAACCACTGCGATCTGTTAGACCGAACCACCCGTGCCAGACACAAATACTCACATCATCCTGCTCGACAAACTTGTTGCTGCTGCCAACATTGATACCCAGACTGCCGAGAACACCCTTGCTCTCGCCCGGGATGGGATCCCTCCGCTCCTTATGCTTGACGTCGACGTTGAAGGTCTCGCTCTCGAGAAAGAGCTTCAGGTCCGCGTCGTGCTGCAGGGTGGGGTGGGCGGCCGTCTTGTTCAGCATCTTCTCCAGCGCGGCCCGGCGCCCTTCGACAAAGTTGCTCTCGAAACGGCCGACGGCCTGCTTCTCCGGTGGAGGGGGGACGACGACACCCGGGTTGTTTCCGTGCAGCGTGTTGTACAGCCAGAGGAAGTCGCGGTATCTGCGCTTTACCTCGAACTCGGGCTGCTTGTAGGCCTTGGACGACGTCTGCCGCGGGGACATGGTTAGCAACGCCGAACTCACCCCGCCTCAACAGTCTGAATACAACACGGAGAGCATACCTTGGTCCGCACAGAGTAGACGATGTGCGAGCTGGTCAGGTCGCCGACCTTGTGCGGGTCTCCCACGGAGATGTGGAAGCTTGGTTTGCTGGCCTGCTCGACGCTGACGCTGGGCTGGGTATGGGTCCGCACGGGGCTGGGATGCGCAGCCTGGACGGGCGGCGGTTGTCTCGGGCCCGAGGGACGGTCGTTCTCGTCGTCGTCGATGTTGTGCGGGTCGGCCGGGCCGGAGCGGCGGCCCTGCTGGGGCGGCATCGTGGTGCGGATCACCATCTGCTCCTTCTGCGGCGGAACGGGCGGAGCATCGTGGCCAGCGTCGGCGCCGTTGTCAGCGGCAGCGGCGGGAGCACCGAGAGGACCCAGGGGACCGAGGGGGTCGTCGACGGCTTCGAGGCGGGTGGGCTGAGCGGAGACGACTCTGCGGACAGGCCCTGAGCGTGACGGACGGGGAGCGGAGGGTATGGTGCCGCTGGTTGTGTCTGACTTGGCCGAGGTCTGCGACGTCGGCTGCTGCTCATCATTCTGGGAGGGTGGTTGCGATGAGGGCTTGGACGTAGGTTGCGATTGCGAATCGCCCCATGGCGATTCCTCGAGGGGATCCATGTTGTGGCGAGTTGATGCGCAATTATCGGGCTACTCGTGGGAACAGATTCGGATGAGTAGAGTCGGAGCTGCGGAACACCACGAATGCAGCGAAATGGCCAGGTGAGATGTGGTTTCGTGGTGGAGGTTATGCAGCAGTAGCAACAGCAGCAGCAACAGCAGCAGCAACAGCAGTCAGTAGCAGCACGGCCGGTTCTGGTCCTGGTGTCTGACGGTCTCAATGAGAAGGTACGAAGGTACATTGTGATTCGCTATGACTGCCTTGTTGAAGCTTCAGCCCCTGCCCCAAACCGTTGGGTACTACCCCTCAAGCACCCCCACCCCTGTAGGCTGTCGCCCCAAGTACCCGACGTCACTGTTCTTCAGCTTCCTACCGACTTCACCAAATGTCGTGTTGTAGTAATGACCGAGAGCTTCACTTTGATCCTTCATCAAATTTTTATTATTATTATTTTTTTTTGCTTTTTTTTCCACATTGGCTAACTGACAGACACACCAATTTAATACGCCGTGACAATTCACACTTTTGGGGTTCAAGGAAGAATAGCCCGAGGTATCTACTACACTGATTGATTTACATAGGCCAACAACAAAGCGGTTGTTGCTGCTTGGCCTGATTACCCTACAAAATGTCATGTTTCGTCGATTGCCGCGACCTCCTCCCCAACGCCAAACTTTGAATGAAATCAATCTACTTCTCCCTCCGCCAATGCCGTTTCCGTCTTGCCGATATATCCAGGGTGCCCTCAACTAGCGGTCGGGATCGTAGCAGCCACCAGCCACAATCAGGTTCATACGCGTGAACTGCACCTTCATGACGGGTGTCTTCTTGGTCGGGAACGCGCTGATCTGGTCGGGAGTAATCATCACCTCCTTGCCCTTCTTCTTACTGCCGCTGGGTGCGTTGGAGCTGCTGCCAGTAGCTCCCTGGCCGCTTGCGCTCGCTCGGTCCGTCTGTCCCGTAGCCGCGACGATGGTGTCGCCTCCTTCCTGTGTGGGTGCCGTACCCTGTTGTTGCTGCACAACCTTGTGGCCTTCGGCGGGAAGATCGACGTCCCAGACACGGACCGTGCCGTCTTGACCACCAGAAACCAGGACGTTGGACTCGACGCTGAAGCTCAGAGACCAGATACCGCCCTTGCCGTGGCCGCGTGAGCGCTTGATGCGTGCGCCCTTCTGGATGTCCCAGAAGAAGATGTTGCCGCTGTTATCGGCGGTGGCCAGGATCCTGCCGTTGGGCGCACACTCAATGGCTGAGATGTAGTCGGTATGACCCGTGAAGACTCGCACGCACTGGCCCGTGATGACAGACCACATGCGGATCGACTTGTCTGTCTCATCCGAGGCCGAGAAGACGTAGGTTCCGTTAGGGTGCCATGCGACTGCCGAAATACTCGAGTCGTGTCCGACAAGGATGCGCTGCGCAGACGCGTGGTCTTGCATCCAGATGCGAGCCGTCTTGTCCCAGCCGCCGGTCAGGAAGTAGTGACCGTGAGGCCCCCACTCGGCTCTCATGACGGGTCCGTCGTGGCCCTTGTAGACGCAAACGCAAGCCCAAATGTCCAAGGACCAGATGCGAACAGTACCGTCGGCGGAGCAAGACAACAGGAGCTTGGAGCTGGTTTCGATGGGGCTCTCGCCCTTGCCCTCCTCGCCAAACGGCGCACGATCGAGCTTAGCAATCGAGTCGGAGAAGGAGACCGAAAAGACCTGGGCCGAGTGGCCGATCAACTTGCGGTTGTTGAACTTGAAGTCCTTCTCGTCGGGTCGCTTCGACTTCAGGGGCTTGCCCTCGAGGTGCCAGACGCGGATGTACGAGTCCGTGGTGCCAATGGCCACCATCTCGTGGTCTTTGGAGAAGTCCATGCACGATACACTGCTTTTGTTTAGCGGGGGCCGGTACGGGAGCCGGTCAATCTGTACTCACCTCCCAAGGGTGTTGTGGAATGTGAACATGCACGCGCTGACGGCGACGCCGACGCCGCCGGTGCGCCCCTCGATCTTGAAACGGTCGCGGTTTTCTCTCACCTTTTGCATCTCCATGACTACGTCTCGGGCACGGGACGGCGGGAGAGGGAGTTCGGATCTGTTTGGGCCGTCGGCGCTCTCCTCGCGCTTGATCTTGCGATCGAATTCGTCGACCAGGGTGGATCGGCCTTCAGGCGGCGGGTTCAGCGCGTCTTCATCCTGAAGCTCGGCTCTAACATCGTCGCGGAGATCCTCTTCCATGGGCAAGGGGCCTAGCTTGAGAGGCACCGTCTTGTCCAGCAGGTCTCTGTTGGAGATGCCGGTAAAGACTCCGGGGATGCCCTCTTGCAGGTCGACTTCGTCGATTTCGAGGTTCTGGCTACGGCGGTAGATGGCCTCGAAGCTGAAAGGCTCAATTGGCCCGCGGGCGGTAGAGTCCAAGTGGCAGAAGGTCGAAAGGATGTAGAGAATGACGGAGCCTCCATTGTCCCGCTCGCGCTCGAGGAAGTGGAAGAGATTACCAGTGATGTGCTGGTTGAGCGGGATGCGATATTTGTTCTCTCTGTAGAGCTTGGTGGTTGGATTCTCCTTGGCGTGCAAGGCAAGAGTAATCGTGGAGAAGGTCTTCAAATCATCCGAGTGGACATTCTCAAAGTACGGCTTGAGCTTATTGAGCAGGCTCTTGGCCTCCTCGGAATAGTTCTGCGTGACCAGCTCCAGCCAAGAGTAGACAAAAACGGGCCAGAGAAGCTTGTTCAACTCGAACTGAGCGAGGTTAGCGAAGCCGTAGCAGAGAGGGGACGACAAGTGGAGATTACCTTGTAGATGTCGAGGTTATTCTCAACCCACTCGCGCAGCAAGTTGAAAGCCTTGAGATACTTCCGCGGGCCAAGGTCGTCCACCTTGTTGTGGATGGGCCTACCATCCGGGCCCAAGTGTGACGACTCTTGCCGGAAGATGGTCTCGGTGCGCGTGTAGCCACGCTTCAACAGATAGTCCGTAACCTAGAAGAGTCAGCCATCTTGCGCAGCAAAACAATCGGACATCAACATATTTGTTTCCACCATTGCCGGGCTCTCTCAGCACGAATCTAGGATTCAACTTTGTCATCGTCCTTGATGGCGGATGTATCGCAAAAAGGAAAGAGCTGTTGGTTAATGGTAAAAGGGTGAAGTTGGAGAAGCAGATGGGTAGGTAGATAGTGGGAACCCGTCGGCTGCTTCCATCGTCTCGGAAGGCGCTAAACGGAGGTCCTCCCTTCCTGCACAATATGAAGCTTTTGCAGTAGCAGTAGCCCATCGCCACCCATCACCAAGAGATCCGACAGACATGCTCTCAACCCAGATACACCAACATCTCCACCGCGAGACATCACCAGAAACGACTGCCACATTGACCGTCATATAACACGCATCAAAAGAAAAGAAAAGGAAAACACAAAAGATGCACCTACAATTTGGTTAAGATTCTGGTTCGACATGGGCGCGGTTGCCGGCGCCGGCGCCGTCGCCGTCGTGGGAGGCGGGATAGGCGTCTGGGTCACAGGAGCAGGGGCAGGAGCGGCACCGCCAGCGCCGGGCGTCGTCGACGTTGTCGTCGCAGGCTGTTGTTGTTGTTGCTGCTGTTGCTGCTGCTGTGAAAACGACCCCGACGCGCCCGCGCCTGGGGTGGTGCTGCTCGCACCAGGCTGGCCTGGGTTTCCCGACATCTCTTTTCCCTCCCTACACGGTCCCTTATTCGAGCTGTGCTATACAAATAGGGGGGGCCAGATTCGTTCCCGGCTTCTTTGAGTTCGACTATACTGTTTGCGCCCCTCTATGACTGACAGTCCATAGTCGTGAAAACCGTCGGATGAGAGACGAGGTGAGAGCCGCCGCCGCCGCCGTAGTCCTCGAGTCGTCGAAGCCGGAGCAAATAAAAATAAAATAAAAGGGTTTCGAGGGCCAATTAATTCGCGCCGTCTTGAGTGAAACTGTCGAGAAATGAGTTTCCTCGAGTGAGAGACGCGAGTCAAGTCTGAAATGGAGATGAAATCGATGGAAAGTCGTTGATGTGTCGCGTCCGGAACCCGGTGAAATGAGGCTCGATGGTCTGTCCCCCTGCAAGGCTGCAAAGGCGGCCGAAAAGCGCGGGCGGAAAATATCCAGAGGAGAGATGCACTAATCCCACAATGGACTAGCTCTTGTGATTTCCGCCTCAGTGATTGGGGAAAAGCTTCAACCTTCGACAATTTGGGATCCACATCCCCCCCCCCCCCCAAATCCAAAAGACGCGGTACCTCACATCATGTACCTTTTCGAGCTCACCTGGCCCAAGCTCACTCACTCACTTACTCTCATCGCTCAGAACCTCACTCATCGACAGCATCATCCGGCTGTGGGACTTCATCGTGCGAGAACAAAATCGTCTCCTCAACGGCCTGCACTTCTTCTTGCGCTCACTCGAGACCCAAAGTTTCTACTTTTTCTTTTTCTTCCTGCCAAATACAAAACCAGCCATCATGACCGACTCAACAATGACCGGCTTCGCCGCCGCCACAGACGAGCCCTTCACCCTCGAGGAGCGCATCAAGCAGCTCTGCGACATCGACGCCAACACAGTCCAGCTCATGCGCCACACCTCGTCCGCAATGTCCGCCCTAGGCGCCCAGCAGGGCCCGGACGTGACCCCCGAGCAGCAGAAGCAGACCTTCCAGTCCTCCATGGACGCCCTCCTCTCCACCCTGCACGCCGTCGACGTCCACATGAAGCGCCAGATCATGGGCCTCGAGGAGGCCGGCATCGTCAAGCTCCGGAGCGGCGGCGGCGGCGGCGCCGGGGACGGCGGGTCCGGCGGCGGCGGCGACAAGACCGCGGGGGGCCGCCAGGTCGTCATGAACGAGGACGCAAAGGTCGTCGCCAGGGCCTCCCTCGAGCCCAACGGCGTCGGCACCATCGGCAACCTCGACGTCGGCTGGCTCAACAGCCGCAACAACAAGGTCGAGCGCGACATGGAGGCCGAGCTGTGGGCCAAGATGCGGGACTTCCTCGAGAGGTATCACGCGCAGGAGCTAGGGGCCGACGGAGAGGGTGGTGGGATGCAGCAGTGAGGCACGCCATCGTGCAACCTAAGCGTACATTGAGAGACGCGAAACAAGAAAGATCTAGTAGCCGGATATACTGGCGGACGCTGCCCCACGACGACGAGATAAACGACGATGAGCGAAATAGCTCGAGTAAGTATTTTGAGCAGGTGCTCTTTCTTCTTGTTCTTTTTTCAACCAACTAACTAATCACAGAGCAATTCACCCGATAGATAGATACCCACCACCCTTCCCTCTTTCATCATTCTCACGCCGAGTCGCGAGGACCAAGAATCAATGGGACCAAAGACTCTGCAGACCAGCTCCTGCTTGTGTATGCGCGGGGATCATTTCCTCATAACGAATGACATTTAATTCATACTGCCTACTTATGCTCTCGACCCTCATTCATAGCCTGGCCACCAATTATTATGCCGTGCCCCATGATGCGCATGCTGATGCTGAACCGAGATGCAAAAAGCATGCCGCCGTACTACCAAGAACGCCGGCCGATGAACAACAACAATGTCGCAATAAAATGTCAAAGCATCGCACCAAACAAACATCAATTATCTCGACCTCCGCTTCCCGTGTACTTGCGAAAGTCCTACTCCTGTACACCTATTTCGTGAGTCGTGGGTGCCCGGTGAAATCGTGGCCATGGTTCAACGATGCCGAGGACGCTCAGGCCCGGAACTTCTTCCGCCCCTCAACTAGGCCCACAGATGCCTTAGTGACGGCGATCCAGTCAGGGGAAAACTGCAGAGCCTCATCGAACGCCGGGATGGTCCCCAGGACGTTGGCATCGCTCCATTGGCATGCGATCGTGCCACTCAGTTCAGCCGACTTTCGAACGCGCAGATCCTCGTGAACGGCCCCGGCGTCAGAATCACTGGATTTGGCTAAAACGCCAGCTGGCACGGCCTTGGTTTTGATTGGTTCGACGTCGACTACCCAGGGGATTGACGCGTCTCTGCGCCAAAGGGTAAGCATTCGCACGCCTTGTTCGGTGGGTCGGCTGAAGATGGGGTCTATTCCAGCGCTGCCGCGGACATTGAACGACACCGGTGTGTCAAAGGCCAAATTGCAAACCTTCGACTCTGCCGCATCAATCCCGAACTCTAATTTGCTGCTCGAGTCCGAACGGCTAATGTTGACAGTCACGAGATTCGCGTATCTGCCCTTTGACACATTGGCAGGGAGGGCGTGGGTGAATTGGGGCAGATTTGGCATCACAGCCGCACCGTTGTATCGACAATCAGATGTCAACCCATAGCCAGGTGTACAGTTGACGGGCTGGCCCGCTCCAGAGGGGAGCTCTGCAATCATCTTCCGCGTGTACTTCTCAAGGCCGGTAATGGAGATGACCGATGTATTCGCGTCCAAGTCAAGAGTCTGTTGGAACCTAACCTTCAGACGATTTTCTGCGGAGAAGGGGAAAGCGACCAGGTTATAGATGAGAGTAACGAAGAAGACCAAAAGCAGGAACAGGGGGAGATAAAAGCTAGCCCTGTGGATGAAGGGCGTGGCAGGCAGAAGAATGATGATGCTAAACGCAGCGATTGCCGCGTATACTAGTATTGGGTCGTTGCCATCGGCGGCGGCCGAGTGGATCGCCGAGACGATGAAGAGGGCAATTTGAAGGAAAACAGTGATAGTGATTGGGGCAAGCAGAAGGAGCTGGAAAAACCAGGTCCATGACGGAAGATTGGCTGACCACTGCTGCTCGTGGTCATAAGGCTGCTGTTCCGTTTCCTTGTTCTCTTCTTCGTCAGGGGTTCTCATGATGGCTGAGAGCGAGCGTCTGTAGGTCGTAGCAAATGTCGTGCGGATGGTACCGTTGTTTCCATTCCCGTTCTCGCCACTCCTAAGAGGTGTAGTCTCTGTCGGCTCCTCTGCGACATCGTCTTCCACATGAGAATGACGGGATGATATCAGCGCATCCGAGTTGGGGACCTCGGATATGTTATCCCTAGTTTGCTGATCGTTGTGGGCGTTCCGCGCAAACTCCTGTTTGCTGGGAAGCGCGAAAAGGTCGCAGAGACTGATGAGTGCCGAAACGAAGACGGCGGAATGGAAGAATGCGAAGGGATAGCCCGAAGCTATCTTGAATCTGTCGGCAGCGGCAGTGACCGCAACAAGGATGACCCAGCTGATGACGAACAACCAGATGTGGGCGTACCCGCGCTGGAGGGCACTCGGCCTGACAACGCTGGCGCCCTTGGCGATCGTCCAGAAGACAAGGAAAAATAGAGACAGAGTCATTGCCCATCTGTTGTCACGAATCAGTACATTGTCAGCACACAGAGCGGGGAAAACGTCATGACTTACACCGCGTAGGGGCTGCTGTAGATGATGTGAGGATTGACCCGTCTAATCAAAAAGGCCGAGAGAACCGTGATTGAGGCCGAAAGGACCAAAGCAAAGGGGAACCGGAAGAAGCCCTTCCAGCCTCCGACAGACACGGGTTCATCATCCTCATCGGCCGTGACCTTGCGTGAGAAGAAATAGTACTTGTCTTTCCTGGAGAGAATGTAGGTGACCAGAGCCAGAACCAGCGGAGAGACGATGAGAAGAGTCAACGTCCAGGCAAACAGGCCACGGAGCTCTAGGATGGCGAAGCCCGTTCCGAACATATCGAACCACACGCCGTCTGTGCCGGAGCCGCTCGCCACCTTCTTCTTGTCTCCGTCATTTCTGCTACCGCTGAAATAGCCAGTGGTGTGCTGGAGGTTGTCGACGGCCGCCAAACTGTTGGACAACATGTGCCACAAGCTTTCCTGCGACGCGTGGCGGGTGTCGTCCTGGTTCGTATGGTATCGTGCTCGAGGGCGATAGAATGCAATGTCCAGGCCGCGCTGGCCATAGGATTCAGTCCATACCTTATAGTCTGTCTCACTTCTGATGGCACCGAGCTTGAATCCGTCTGCCGCGACGACAGAGCCAAAGGGGTGAGGCGCGCCTTCATAACCCTTGGTGACCTCCAGGTCCGTCGTTCGGAAAAGAATGGCACGTCCGCCGGCGCCAGCGCCCTCGAGGTTCACGAACGAGGTGGTGAAGTAGTAAAGAGGGCTGTAGTGGTAGACTTTGGCTCCATACAGACCGTCTTCTTCGCCGTTGTTGAGCAGCAGCACGATTCCACGCATGGGCTGATGGCCAGGGCTGGTATAATGGTTGAGGATCTGCAGGATACTCACGCAACCCATGCCATCATCAGTGGCCCCGTAACCAGAAGATACACTGTCGGTTCGTTAGTGGCCAAAGGCTTACGGGCTGAGAAAAAACATACGAGTCGTAGTGGGCATTGACGAGAACACCACCCTGGCCAATCTTTCGGGGATCGCGCTTGCCATTCCACCATTCGCCGTCTTCATCCAACGTGCCGCGAATGTAGACCAACTTGTTCGTGCCCTCAAAGTAGGTACCATAGGCGCCAGCCTGATTAAAAGAGCCCGATGTGCCAAGATAGGTGGTGTTGGATATTGTGTCGTCAAAGATGGTAACTGCAGGTCCCTTTGAATCGCGGCGTTGCACGTCTCGTTTCGCAGGGGCGGGCGCATCACTGGGAGAATGCTTGGTTAGCAGTCATGCTCCATGAGGTAGCCATGCACGGCAAACACCTACTAAGCTTCCTGGGGCCAAATGACGCCGCCAGCATCCTTCTCTTTAGTGTACTCAACCTTGTTGCGAACCAGGATCTCCTCGATCCGCTTCATAAAGTACGCGCCCACCTCATCGTTGGCACGGCTGTTGTAAGGGTGGTACTTCCTGGTGATGTGCGTCAAGTCGTGCCAGGCCTCGGTTACGTTGAGCTGTGGATAAGGATTCTTGCTGCTGCTAGGGACAGCCGGGACAGACTCGTGTATCCATACGAGGGGGATCAGGAAAGCCGCGTAGACGACGATCAGCCAGAAAGTAACGGGGCCCGTCGTGAACCCAAAAGGGTTCTTGACAGCCATTGCGGCCGAGTGCTACGGTAGGCGGTCGTGTGAGTGTAGCGGCCCAGAGTGTCGTCCGTCACTGGGTTGACGTTATTGGTTTGTTGTTCAGGGATCGCGACGTTGAGGTCGATTAGACCCTGAGGAAGACTGCAGAAATAGACAGCTACGAGTCTCAGTGCTTAGTCGCCGAGTGTGGTGGCGGAGATGGCCGGGGTTCAGCTCAGCGGAGGGGTGTGCAGAGGGTGGATTGGGGGGCGTCCCTCAGAAGCTCAGATAAGGTCGGGTAGTGAATGCTTGGTACTGATAAGGGATAGATAGGTAGATACTCTGTACAAGCTTTGGCCCGGAGACTGTTTAAGACTCCCACAGCAGAAGATGAACATGGGCGGTTCGCGGAAGAAAGGAGCGAGTTCGGCGGCGGAGTCGGGGGAAGGGCAACAAGGTTGTGCTGACGAGCGACAGAGAAAGAGAGAGGGTGAGAGAGAGAAAGAGAAAGAGAAAGGAGAGGAGATGGGATGAAGAAGGTGCAAGGCGTCATGTCATGCCAGATCTGGGATAGAATCAATGCTCCTTCCTGGCCGAGGATGATGCGCGCGCGACAAGGTGGCCCAAGCTTCTCGTCTACCTACACTGCGGAGTACCCCACAACACAACCTGCACAGCCTACACAGCCAGCACGAAGAATGTCATCGATAGGGGAACTAATTGGTCTCACCACTCGACTCGCCAGTTCTATTCGACTTTGGATCCGTTAATTAGACATGAGGCTGCAAATCTCTGGCAAACCTCCTCATTGCTGCTGTTGCTGCTACTGCTGCTGCTGCTGCTGCTGCTGACGCCGCCACTCAGAACTAGGCAGCTGACCATGGCACCAATCCGCCCCCTTTGGACTCGGATCCGACTTCGAGAGGTGCACCATTCCGAGCTCCATACGTAGATGGGGGGGGTTACGATCAGCTTCACGTGGCACACGCTGAAATCAACATGAGAATATGATAAACTTCTTGCTACGTATAATGCACAAAGAAAGCCTATGGATTAGTGACCACTCAGTTCCCCGTCTATCATACAATTTGTTCGAGTTTGTGTGCTGTTTCTGGGTCTGTTTCCAAGTGAAGCGACACCCGGACGCGCCCTCATCAGCCCTGCAAACAGTTCCGGAATGCAAACGCTATATCGCACGTAGGTAGGTAGGTAGGTACGAACACTTGTCCAACCCGGGAAGTCATGAAATGAATCCTTGGTTGTTAGTTGATCGTTAGTCTTCAACCTGTTCGGGCGAAAGCATCTCTTCAAAATCCACGTTAGTCCCTAGGCCGTCCACTCAAGTCCTAGAATCCAGATCAGGCACCAGGAGGGGGAGGTGGGGGAGGCAGGTCGCTGGGAGGAGGAGGAGGTGCGTTGTCCGAGGGAGGCGGCGGCGGTGCACCGCCGGCGTATTGCTGGATGAGTGCGTTGATACCACCAGCCAGGCCCGGAGGAGCTCCGAGACCAGGAGCACCTGGTGGAGGAGGCGGGATGCTCGGAGGTGCCGCCATGCCGGGCGGCGCACCGTACCCGGGGTAGCCGCCGTAGGCGGCATAGCCGTTCTGAGTTCCGGGAGGCTGATGCCAAGGGGCAGCACCCGGAGCAGCGGGCGCGGCTGCCTGGCCACCATAGCCTTGGCCGCCACCATAGTAGTTGTCACCACCAGCCTGCTCATCGCGGCGGTTGCGGTCGCGAGCCCACGGAGCGGCACCACCGCCGCCGCCGCCACCACCACCACCGTCGCGGTCGCGATCATCGCGCGAGTCGTTGTTACGACTGCGCCAGGGAGCCGGACCGCCGGTAGGGCCGCGCTGCCAGGGCCTCGCTTCGCCGCCACCGCCGCCACCGCCGCCGGCGCCGCCAGCACCAGGGCCGTTGCTGTAGGAACCAGGACCGGCTTCGATGCGTGCGGGTGCAGCACCGCTGGATGAACCACCACCGAGTTCTTGCATAAGTTGCTGTGGCTGGGTTAGCGTTGTGTCATGGTGACAAAATGTGTTGAAGTTACATACCTCGTACTCGCGGTCGACGGCGTCTCCGCTTCCAATGCGGCCGGCAGGACCTCTACCACTTCCGGGACCGTCGTTGCGCCAGCTAGCACCCTTCTGTCGGTCGGGGCAATCTCTGGCCATGTGTCCAGCGTTGCCACAGACACGGCAGATGATGCTGGCAGTGTAGTTTTGCCGCTCGGGGCAGTCGTACTTGCGATGGCCGATCTGACCGCAGTTCTGGCAGGCCTGGTTTTCATCATCGCGGAGGGTACCGTTGAGGGCAGCGAGCTCACGGAGCTGGTTACGCTTGAGCTCGTTCTGGCCTTCGGGTATGGAAGCAGCCTGGTGAGAGCCAAAGTTAGCAGTTGTAGGTGCAGGCGTCGTGGGGGAGGGGATACGTACCGTCTCAATGATATTGTGGATGAGCTTCTTGGCCTTGTTGACCTTTTCTTCCGTCTCCGCCATGATAAGGCAGTGAAGGTCTTCCTCCTGGTTGCTAGCGTGAGCTGCGTCCGACCGCCCCTTTCCTTCCTTGACGGAGCCCTTGCCACGAATGGCAATCTTGGCACCGGATTCTGACTCCATCTTCTTCAGGGTGTTGCCACGGGGTCCGATAAGTAAGCCAACTTTACGAGGAGAGCTAAGCGTTAGTACATGTATCAAGATGGTGAAGCAATTATGACGGTCCCGATCTCCAAACAAGGCCAGGTCTGACAAGACACCTGGAGGATGCATGACAAGCTTGGCCAGAGTCCAGGCAGGGGAACAAGGGAAACAAGAATTTTGGTTAGGAGGGTTAGAGGGTTAGCAATCATACTGAAGTTAATCTCTGGATAATCGTTAACAGGCACGTAGACCTTCTCTTGGGTCTTGGTGGGCCTGCGGTAGTCCTGTGGCGGGTGGTAGTTAGGGATGGTCTTCATGGCCTTCTCGATGAGCTTGTGACGCTCGTCTTCGAGGCGCTTGCGGTAGCGGTATTCGCGGGTGTTGATACGGCGACCATGGTTGTCGTACTGCGGAGGAGGAGAGGGGGATCTGGAGGAAGAGGGGATGGTCAGTAAAGGCATTGCGCGAAGCTGGAAAGGGGAGCGGGCATACCTGTCTCCATCCGCGGGGACGACGTCGTCAATACGAAGCTTCTGGCTGATTTCCGTGATGCGGAGATGGAGGGTGTAGGCCTCCAACTGCTCGCCGGTCATGTTTGCCGTGATGGCAGTCGTCAACCCCATCAATCCCGCAGCCTTGTTCTCCGACGCGTCGCCCCAACGGTTTCGCTTCTTCCTGCGACGAGGGCCATCGGCATCGGTACCTAGACACACGCAAAGTCAGTATCTGATGGGCGCTGGTGAGTAACACAAGCGAGAGTAGACTTACGAGGCTCAGGGCTACGACCACGCTTCAACTCGCCATTGCCGTTGCTGTCGGGGGGGTCATCTTGGGGGTACTCCTCATCATCGCCACCGAAACGGCGCTTGCCCAGCGGGATGTTGTTGGAGCCCGTGATTCCCTGGCTTCTCCACGACATGTTGACTGTTGCGCAATGGCTATCAAGATGTCGGTATGGAGCGGATGGAGTGTGATGACGATTTCGTGTTCGCGATGAAGGAGGGAATGGACTTTTATATGGGACTGGCAAGTTTAGGTAGAGCTGCGGAGGTACAGAGAACAGTCAGTACTGAACACAGAACATTGGCCTCAAGCTTTTTCGGTGCCGATTGCCACCAGCTGGTGAGTTCCGGGGCAGTGCCCACCACGTGACGCAAAACGGTAAAGTCAGCACCAACAATTCAGGCTTCCAGGCTTTTTTTTTTTTTTTCCTACACGGCGAAAAAAGGAATTGCACGCAAAGGAGAAAAAAGGGACTTGATTAATCGACAAGTGGAAGAGAAATACGCCCTACTGGCAAAAGATGTGATCAGTGGGAGGCTTGAACTCCCGGCCTTGGCATTACACAACATTTCAGGTGAAATATTAGTACCACGCTCTAACCAACTGAGCTAACCGACCTGAACCGTCCTGTTCGAAGTTGAAGATAAGATCGCTATCCATATCTATCCATCTTCATCTTAAATGCATAATTCAGATGACATGTTCCAGCCAACCTGTTTCTTGCCATCATCTCAACGCAATGGTTGCGGCAAAGTGCCAGATAAACTCGTCATATCACAATCAAGAGAGTTTCAGTGCTTTAACTTTGTTTATCAATCTCATGATGGACCTTTGTCTCTGATACTGAGCTACCCAGTGTGGCCTCTCATTTCTTCGCCGCATCCTCCTGCATGCCCTTGAGGATCCACGCGGATGCAGCCTTAGCTTTCGCATCCAGCTCCTCATCACTCATGCTGTAATGGTCCAGAGCGGTGTGGCGAGTGGGAATGTGACGGCCCTGTTCGAAGCCAGGTCGCTCGGCAAGCTTCCACAGCCAAGCCTTGAGCGCGGGGAATTCTTCCAGGTCGATGCCCGCCCACTTGCTGGCCGCGACCCAGCCCCAGCAGGCAATGTCGGCAATGGTCACACGGTCGCCGACGAGGTAGCCGTGGGTGTTGGTCTTGATCTGGGTGTCCATCGTGCGGTACAGGCGGCGCGTCTCGTTGACATAACGGTCGATGCCGTACTGGATCTTCTCCGGGGCGTAGCCTGTTGGTGTCAGTCAGAATGCCGTTATTCATGGGCACGGCAAGCGGTCTTCTCACGCTTGAAGTGGTTGGCTTGTCTACAAATCTGTCAGCATCCTTCGTAAGCATCTCGGCTGGTAGGATACCGGTACTCACCCCTGCATGGGGCCCAGGCCACCCATCTGCCAGTGCAGCTGCAGTTCTCGTTAGCGGCACTAATCCCTCAGGGCGTCCAAGTCGGCCGGCCATACCCAGTTGTTCACCTCCCAGTACTCGCGAGAACCGTAGGGGTAAGAAACCTTGTGGTCCTTGTCGTAGCGGTCGATCAAGTACTGCAGAATGCTGCCGGACTCGAAGAGACGGATAGGCTTGCCATCCTCGAACGTATCGGTCAAGGCCGGAATACGTCCATTGGGGTTGATCTCAAGGAACCACGGCTCCTGCGGGTCGGTGCATCAGTGTGCGGGCTCAAGCCAGGGTCTGCATGTTGCCGACCAACCTTTTGGGTGTTCTTGGAAATGTCAATGGAGGTGACCTGGTAGTCCAGGCCGAGTTCCTCCAGGAGGATGGACACCTTGATACCGTTGGGGGTGCCGGTGGTGTACAGGTGGATGTCGGTCTTGGTCTTGGCAGCCATGTTGATTATCTGTTTACCTAATTGTGCGAGACGAGAAGTCATCAATCAATGGGGATGGTGGGTGTTGAAGGTTGTCGTCACAGGTTCTGGACAGCTTCACGGAAATGGCAATGGAAATGGAAACCAAGGCCTGCCTCTCTCTAAATACTCATCAGGCAGCTTGGAGCTTGGAGCTTCTTGCCCCATTATATCGACCCCTCACTACATGACCATTTTCCTTAGTAGGTAATAGGTAGGATAGGTGGACATTATCTTATTAATCCGGAAGGGAGGGGGGCCCGCCTGGATGCCCGTGGAAGCTGCGTCTTACTGTGGTTGCTTCCGTTCCGTCAGTGTGACCCTTTGTGCCCCTCCGTCGCACGGCCGTGGCTCTGCGTGTTGCGACGAACAGGACGCGTGGGGCTTTTGCTTAGAAATCCGAAAAGGCATAAAAGTGTCGTCACCTCCCCCACGATCAGATTGCGGGCTGTGGAGCCCCACCCTGTACCTGTACCTAGGTACCTAGGTACCCATTCAATATGAGTGAGGAAGACTCCTAATGGCCTCATCGGCATTTCCGACCACATATGGCCATGATGCTCCTTACGGTTAATTGCCGTAAAGACACGGTATTTGCATCAGCCTCTGACAGCGCTCTGCTGGATCGGCACTATTTGCTCCGACATCATCTACGCCGCCGGCCCGGTGCCGTGTGTAGCCAAGCTTTGTGGCGCCCCGTCCCGTCGGCAAGCATGCCCGTCCCATGTCAAAGCCGGCTTCATATGATGTAATGTGTACGGCATTTTATTGGTGCTTCTCTCGTCATTGCTTCTTGCTTTACGTGACACCTGGCTGTTGAACATGGACGTGACTAAACGTATGCCTACTTGTAAACCGTTTGGCCACTTGGGCGCCCGCCGAGTGTTGTATAAAATAGGCCCAAGTGATACACACGGTCTGGAGAAATTCATAGCATTATTTCTATGGTCACTCATGTCAACTGTCGTAACATCATACAGAATACCATCGCATTTCGTAACCGAATATTCAACACCACAAGTAGCCACCACATGTCATCCACGTTTCATGAAGAAGGAAGAAAGGAATCTACACAAAACAACCACGACATTGGGTACAGGGATGCCGGAATCCTCTCACATATCCCGCATTCTCCGGCTGGCCTCGAGCCAAAGCAACCTGGCCATTGATTCCAGACCCTTATGACTCTGTTTGCAACGGGGCGGTGCGTAGATTCCGGGGTTGCAAGACTGCTGCTCGAACAGCTGTGAGCCGTACGACTCCGGATCAAGCGACGGGTGTTGAGCCAAAAGCCATCATAGAACAGGGGCGACTGTGTCTGCTTAAGGAAGCAAGTTCTGATCGATTCCAAAGTGGACATTCTTCTGGAGCTTCTCCCGCCGGCCCTCGCTACCCCTGTTGCTTCTGCTGCTGCTGGTGCTCCTGCTGCTCCTCCTCCTGATTTAACTCCCGTTGTTACCCCCTGTTGCTGCTACATCTGCTGCATCTGCTGATTATGCTGCTGCCGCTCCTCATGTTGCTCTCGAACCATTTGCTCCGATTCCTTCTTATCGCACGGTCCGCTGTTGCTACCATGCCATCTTTGCCGCGGTTGTTGAATACACGCGGGACGGCGGCGACGAAGACGGTGGACGGGATTGGAGAGCTGGCGGATGAATCGGAGGGGCGTACTCGTCATGGCTCAGTTTGAAGGAAACGCCTAACCCTGGTCGTGTATTAGTTCGTGCGGGTAGGTAGGTAGGTGGGTAGGTATCTGTCGGCAAGCTCACATAGGAAACGATGCTTGCAGATGCACGAGAACTGTCATCGCAAAGTTGGTCTAACCCATACAGCGATGCCATACGGATCTCTCGGCCGAATGCCAAGAATCATGCCTGCCGGCGAAACGACAAGGACATGGGCGAGTAAAAGAGGCCGTTTACATCTTTCTAACAGTTGATACATGTACACATACACGGCCCGGCACCGCACCAGCCCCGCCCCGGCCATCATTCTGCTGCCGTGTCAACCCAGTGCAGATGCTTCCACAGAGCCAAGAAATACATGCAATGAAAAACCTCGAGTCTGACACCGGGACTCTTGTTGTTGCTGAACCAAAAGCTAAACACCTGTCGGCGCCTGCCCAAAAACTCCGTATTTTTTCCGTATTTTGGTGTTTTTTCTCTTCTTTTTTCTGGAATGAGATGAGATATCATAGAGAGTCCTGTCATGCCTTCTATTCTCTGATGCCGATAGGGCTGCCTGCGTCGACAATCAACTGCTCGTCGATCCTCTTATCGGTCTCGCCCCATTCCACCCGCTTCCAGGTGGTGATACGAGCCTCGTTAGTGTCGACCTCGAAAACGCGTATCCGGCGGTGGTATCCGCCGTAGCCTGCGTACCCGCCGAATCCTGCGCCACCGGCGTAGCACATCCAGAGCGCGGGCTTCTTCTCGCTGTCTAGAGAAAGGGAACAGTAGTCGTTTACGTGGTCGCTGTTTTCACGCATCAGTAGAGAGCTTCAAGATTGGCCGAGAGGAATGCAGAGAGGAGAAAACTTACTGGCCGCAGCTGACCATGACGACGCCCTGCTCAACCAGGGCGTCCCGGAAGCCCGAGTTGTAGTTGGGTGCCGTGACACCCTCCTTCCACGAGCCCTTGAGGGCGAGTTCGGCATCTCTGTATTCAGGCAGAGGAATGTGTATAAAGGCGAGGTCCATGTGAACCTTGCTGTACTCCTTGTGCGTCTTTTTGAGGCTGGTGGACGTCTTCTTGAACCAGTCGATTTGGTTCTGTTTGATCCAGTCATAACCGTGGTACCTGCGCTCGTCTGGCGAATATGAGTGAGAATCCAGCATGTATAGTGTCAGTGCCGAGTGGTCCGATTTGCCCCTAGCAAGGACTTCGACGTAGTAGTTGCCGACGCCGTCAATTTCTTCGGGCCCGGCTTTGGCAAGGGAATACGGCAGGGACTCCAAAATCTGCATCTGGGCGGATCGAGGAAGCGACCCCTCATCGTCGTGGTTACCGAAGATTGAAACGTAGGGAATCTTCAATTTGATCAGGATCTGGGCAATCTTGAAGATGGCCTGTCCTTTGTTAGCTTGCGCCCACCCCGTCCCGGCAACTCCAAACTCACCGACTGTGCATCGGGCGCGGTCTCTCCGTTGACCTGGTCTCCACTGAGCACGACCAAGTTAGGCTTCTCCTCGTTGAGGATCTTGCTGACGAAGTCGAGCGTTCTGGTGTCGGCCTCGCACACGCCGCCGTTGTAGCCCTCGGGCATGGCGTCGCGGCACTTTCCCACGCCGGTGCTGAGATGGAGATCGGCGAGTTGGACAATCTTGAAGCGGCCGTTTTCGGGGATGCGCGGTCGCGGCTTATGGGGTTCCTTCTGGCTTCCTCTTCGCAGGGTGATGTGGGTGACGGGGACGTCCTGGTTGGGAGGGAGGAGCAGGGCGGTGCCGGTGATCTCCCATCCTTCGCGGGCCTCGACCGCATCGTCGCCGAAGAGCACGTCGATACCGGTGACGGCCTTTTTAGAGTCGCTGTTCTTCTGGTTGGACGATCGCTTCACCCACAGGCCGTACGGCCGGCTCTCCCACCGCTCGTCCTCCTCGCCCTTCTTTGTCGTCGTCGGGTCGAGCCGTCCGACGGAGAGATCCATGACGACCTTGTCTTCTGGCAGCAGCTCATCTTCCTTCTTGCGTGCGACGTGTACGTATGCGCTCGTGGTCCATGACTTGCCCAGGTAAAGGTCCTTCTCGATGCGGTGCCACTTGTCGGTATCGAGGTTGCACGAGGAGAAGACGTTGAGGGTGGAGCATTTGGTCACTGTGATGTCGGTAAGGATCAGGCCGTGGTGGTGCTGAGGCATGTAGTGGTGCATCGACTTGGGGAGGACTCGGAAGTTGCGGTCGAGGAAGAAGACGACGAGGAAGGTCAGCAGCGTTACCGCGGTGAGCTGAATTATCGTCCGTACCTAGGAAAAGGCATTGTCAGCGGGGCTTCCCAGGCTTGGATAGCGTCGGAGCACATGACTTACTATGCGTCGCGTCATGCTGGGCGACTTTGAGGTTGTCGCAAGGTGGAGGGGAAAGAGGGCGTTCGTAGCGACTCGGGAGGGGGGAAGTAGATGATGGAGGATGTATTTCAAGGGAAGACAGACGAACACGAATACTCGGCTCGGACGAGCCTGATACAAGCTACTGTCTAGGCCATACCATGGCCCGCGGATGGGGTATACAAAAGCGAATAGTTGGTTGATTTGCGAGTGGCGCGGCGTGGGAGAGAGAGCCTTGTTGTCAGCCCGAAAGACAGCTCAACAAGGGCGACAGGGGGGAGGGTTTTGGGAAAGGGGAGCAGAAAAAACAGGCGCGAGAGGATCGTGTCGGCCGATAGGTACATCATACATGGACGTTAGAGGCCCGTTTGAGTGGATCCGCCCTCGGAATCCGGGGTAGCAGCGTTTTCCCTTTTCACAGCACAGAGGTACCAACGAGCGTGTGCTTGCTTGCTTGCTTGTCAGTGGGCCACAAGGGTAGGCAGTACGTAGTTACGATTAGGTTGTCAAGGTTTCATTTGCATCGCAAAACCACAGTACCTAGGATAAGGGGGGATGATGGCTGGAGATATGGAGAGGGGAGGGGGGCGGAAGCGGAGAGCCATCTGGCACGTGCCATATGGACGGCGTGGTATGCTTCGGTGGTTATGGTCTGCCGTCTGCCGCTTTTGCCATTTGCCGTTTGCCGTTTGCCGAGTAGGCTGCATCATGTCGAGTTGACACGGGCCGAGTTGCGACGGCAAAGCGGCCTTAGCGGTAGCCTCAACGTCAATGTCGTATCCATGTCATTGTCGGTCGGCTTCTCTGTTCCATGTCGATTGTGTGCGTGTGTGCCGCCGGCCCGCCGTCAAACGTACCATGTATATATGCTGCCTGCGTAAGTCCCCGGACGGCTCGGTCTGAAGTCTGTGGATACATACCTGTACACTACACATCTGCTGCAATGGACGCGCAACATCAGCGCACATGGATCCAGAACCCTTCTCGTATCCTCTGCTCGCTCAGTCAGTCACTCAGCACACGACGAACGCGCGTCATCTACGAATTGAGTTTGGCACGCAGCCATCCTCCCCGTCACTCGTAGCAGTCGAGAGGGGCGAGACCAAGGTACGGCCAAGCCAACTCGCTTCGGGATGACAGAAGTATACATGAGCGCAACACGACTTTCTGAAAGTTTGGCTCATGTCTTGATATGGATATCAAGCAGGACAGTGTTGCTGTCACATGAAGTTTACTCGGTGGCAAGAGGATTGTTGTCGCGAACCATGATGATATACGGATACCAACCCGGCTATTCGTACCGCGAACCTCTGCTACTTGGGACTCGAGTCGAGCTGAGTGTACCCTCCCTCGACGGACCCTTCCCTTGAACGGGTACAATACAAAGACGTGGAGTTCATCCTTGTCCAGTAAGATATATATATATATATATACATACATACTCGCATTCGTAGTCTGACGACACCCCATCCCTTGACATGAGAAGAAACGCCATCTATCTCACAGCGTCCGAAAAGAAGTGGTGTCGTTGGGCTTTCCTTAGTACTTGAGCCCAGACCGATTCCATCATATAAAGCAGCACTATATATTTCTCAAGTTTGCACCCCGACCCAACCTACCTACATACATACACAGTAGTGTCAAGGTAAATAAATGCACGACAGTGACGACACTCGACCGACTCATCCATCATCCCTTTTGGACGTATTGCGGAGGCCCTGGTCCGTGCTTCCATATCCTTCTCGCTTAGCTGCACGCAGCCTTGATAGGTACGTACCTACTCCTGTTCCAGAGAGGCGAGACGGACCCTTTTTCTTTGGTCGAGGTGGAAGGCATGAACCAAAGCAGCAACGACGCGCCTGAAAGATCGTCATAACCCCCGACCGTGATCCATCGACCACCACAGCCCCCTCCCCCCTTCTCTCCGCCTTCCCCGTTCCGCCTCCCTGTCATCAACAATTTCTTCTCTACAACCGTCTGCGCATCCCTTCTCATCATTGTCGCATCCGAAACCATCCATCAGATCCAACAATCAATCACCTGTAGCCGCTCCATCGCATCTTCGCAGTAAACATGGCTACCGACTACAGTTCGTTGAAGGTTCCCGAGCTCAAGAAGTTGCTCCAGGAGAGAGGCCTTCCCGCAACGGGCAACAAGCTGGACCTTGTCAACCGCCTCAAGGAGAACGATAAGCAGACCGCGCCTGGTACGTCGCCCGATTGATTCCAATTGCGCCCTCCCCGTCATCGCAAGCTAACACCATCCCCCCCCCCCCCCCCCCAGCCACCGCAGAGGAGGACGAGATTGACTACAGTGACGACGAGCCCGCGCCCGCCAAGGCCCCTGAAGCCCCCAAGCCCGCCGCCGACGCGTCTGCCCCTGCCACAGCTGAGCCCACGGCTCCCGCCGCCGAAGCTGCGCCCGAGGCCGCCCCCGAGGCTGCCACAACCGCCGAAGGAGACGAGCCCGACAAGGCTGCAGAGACTGCCGCCGAGGTGCCAAAGGAGAACTTCGCCCTAAACCTCGATGCGACCGACGCCGCAGCAGAAGCCAAGAAGCGCGCCGACCGCGCCAAGCGCTTCGGCATCGACGAGGACAAGGAGGCCAAAAAGAAGGCCGAACGCGCCAAGAAATTCGGTGTCGAGGTCGGCAGCGTCGCTGGTCTCGATTCCGCACTACCCGAGAGGCGCCCCAAGCGCGGCCGTCCCGAACGCGCCGACGAGCAGCCCGGACGCAATTCCAAGCGACTGAGCACCGATGGTCGCGGACAACGCGGTAGGGGCAACAGGAACGGGCGTCCCGGTGGTCGTCAAGGAGGCGGCGATCGCGAACCCAGACGCAGCGCCGCCGTTGATCCTGCCGATAAGGCGAAAATGGAGGCCAGAGCGAAGCGATTCGCCGCCTAGGTGTGAGGTGCGCAACGCTGTTTGGTGTGGGGTAAAGAAGGCCCCGACGATGGGCCTGTATAACTATGCCAGGGAAGAGGCGGAGGGTGTTTCGGCACACGACGAATGGCTGGACAGACGCCAACGTAAGATTCGAAAACACAGCACACGTCTTCGGTTCAGGGACGACGAGGGCGCAAACAAGCCGGGGCGACGTCGACAACACGCGTCTTCCCAACGAGATATTTCTTTACAATAATGGGATAGAACCAAAAGTTTTTCTTTGTATTCCCCATGTTCCAGATACCTCATGGATCATCGGTATGGAGACGTGGGTGCGGGAAGCCGCCTGTGTACTTCTGAGCGCCCATGCACGAGAAACCGATGCCGTCAAAGGCTAGATTTCGCCACCAGTGACCGGGGAGTGTGTATACTCCCCACATCATCATCTCACAGGCATGTTCTGTTATGTACGGCAGGATGTCTTGCGAGCTAAGTGATTATCGATTTGTCTTGGACCGCCGATGCCAGTTTTCTGAAAGAGCTTATGCGTCGAACCAGCGTATACGAGACTCTACGATGGAGGATCTATGACATCCATACTCGGCAAGAAGGAAAAGAAAAGGTAAACAATCCATTCGGCAGCGCAACAGTGCTCCAGTCTCCATCTCCAGACACTTCTCTCTCGCCACGAATACACCAAGAGTCACCCACTCCCCCTCACCCCTTTCCCGTTTGCCTTTCCAAGAGACTCTTCTACTCGTCAGTCATACTCGTGCTCGGGGCTGGGGCAAAAGCCACCATCAAGGTTCCTAACAAGCGACTTGGAGAATATGGGAAATGCCTGCCAACGCAGACCGCACAAACCGCACAAACCATCCCCCGCTTACTACCGGCTTCGTATCTTCTTTATCCCCGTACATACAACCTCCCGTAAAAACATTGTAGCTCTCATCCCACCAAATCTCAACGGTCCACCAGTGCCTCGCATTTGGATATGAGCAACCTGCCGGCGCGAGACAACCCCGGGGAGGGAGAGAGAAACCCGGCCCAAGAGACCTACAAACCTCCCGGATGATCTCGTACATGAACTCCAGGCTCCACAGCCAAAGAGCTTTGGCGGTTTGCCTGCTCCATGACATGACCGAACCAGATCCTAGGCCGCCTGAATCTCAAAGGGTTGTCAGCCGCTGCCTCCATTATCATACTCCTATAGAGCCACCCAAAAAGGCCACCCAAAGAGGATGATCAACAAGCTATGGAGGAGGAAATCTACGAGTCTGATGGTTCGATTCGCTGCGAAGAGATGGCGAGGGGGAGCAGTACTGAGAGCACGAACGGCACAGCAGAACCAAAAAGTCCCTAACCATCTAACCTCCATGTCGACTCAAGACCCTGAACCCCCCACTCAAGAGGATGAGGAAGGTGATCACTGCGACGAATGACGGAACCTGTTATCGCTAAGCGCTAGCTACGCGCGTGAAGCCGCCACGTGTGAGACGGGGTGATTAGACGAGCCAAGTGTAATACAAGGCTGAAGCGTCTTTGCGAATACACGAAGAAAAGAAGGCCGTCGTATATCAAATTTGATAGCTTTCCGGCCCTTGCATGTTTGAAAACCCCAACGGGGCTATCGAGTGCAACCGTTCATCGCCTCGCCGCCCTCCGAGACCGGCGGTCCCCTCTATTAGCCGGACCTATACCAAGGCGCCTCCCTGAGCCACGCGGTCCTGGCACGACATGCCATCCTTGGCGCCCAGGCGGCCGTTCCTCCCCGAAACTCCGGACGGCAGTCGAGATGATGCCGGCGAAGCCGAGGCCGCCGATCGACGCCTGGGGCAGCCAGAGGTTGTATACCTGCGCGTCGAAGGCGCAGGAAGCGGCCCAGGCGATGGCCCGCTGGGTGCTGGGAATTGGCCTGCTGCTCATCGCGCAAGAGCAGAAGTTTGAGCATTGCAAGAACATCGCCCACGTAGGCTGGGTAGCCGTTGGCCGTGTTCTCAAAGGCGGAGTCGCTCGCAGAACCTCCCGTCCTCCCCCGAGGTGCGTAAAAGAACAAGTCAGAGGGGTGGGGGCGCTGACGGGCACGGGATCGGGCGACTGTAAGGCCAGCCGTGGCGGTCACGGCGGCGCCGGTTCGAGTGATGACAAGAAGTCCTCAAGGTGAACCGGCGTGCTTGGGTTATGTTGATGGTGATCTGGAAGGCAATGAGAAGGAGGAGGAGGAGGAGGATATGGGGGTTGGAAGTTGTCGTGTGACCTATCAGAGGCGGACGAGAAGGTGGTTTCTGTAGCAGAATAGATTGGCCATCTCGAGGACGGTCTCAAAGTGAGTTGAAAGCCTTTGCCGGAAGACCAAGACCGAATCCAAAGCATCACAACCCCGAGCCCCCCCCCTCAGGTCGCACATAATGTCGTCGTTTATGTGGAACGACGATACCACCACGACAACAACCTTTTATCTCACAACCAGAGGTATGATAAGGAATCGTGCCTCAATCCCCAATATGAAGAGGGGCTTCCCCCCCAAATCATAAAGCCAGACTGACGAGGTTGACTCTGCACTATCAAGGTTCGCCGCAGGTCCCGCGGCTTCCGCCAAGGCCGTGAGAACTCGGGCGAAAGGCAGAATAGTTGGCGCGTCAAAGTCACCAATGGAGCTTTGTTCGGTAGCCCCAGACCGAGTGTCGGATGTTCTATTCGGCGCGGTTCGGCCGAGCCCGGTTCACGTACCCCTCGCCGTCCGTAGGCCGGCCGCCTTACACGTGTTACCCTCCCCCTTCCGTGACACATGGTACTCAAAGGTATGGAGGGATAAAGGTGCCATGCAAGCATGTATGTATTTAGGTAGGTATACAAACCAACTGACTGGACGAAACCCGAGGTAGGTGGCATCAGACCCGAGTCAGCCGACACGTTTTCTACATTGTGCTTCTTGAATACCATGATGGGCCGAGAGCCGCCGAGATGGTCCGCCTCCCCGAGACTCCACTAGGTCCGTATACATCGTATTGCATGTGTCGGTGGTGCAAGGTAGAATGTCATTGGCTATCATCGCGTCAGCAAGGCTGCATGAGCCGATGGCGAACGTGGAAAGTCATTGGCTGATACTGCATCAGCAAGGCTGCATGTACCGATGGTGAAGGCAGAAATGTCATTGGCTGCCACAGCGTCAGCAAGGATGGAGAAGGCAGAAAGTCATTGGCTGTTACTGCGTACAACCGACTACTTGTAAACCACTTACACACCGGCATCCCGGTTGGGTGCCTACACACACGCATCCTGCGGAAACGAGGTTCCGACCCCCTGGGTGCCTCTCCTGAAGGGGCCATATCCCCCTCCCCACCCCATCTCTCTAGCGCGCTGTTGAAACAGTGAGATGGACAGAAATTGAGGGGGGGCGGGGGGCGGTTGTGAATGAACTCCCTTGCCGACCCCGATCCAGAATCCTCCCCCAAGCGCCCGTATAATATCAGGGGTCGGGATTATATATCCGCGCTTGCCTGGGCCCTGGCCCGGTCTGGTCTAGCCTGGCACGTACCCTTTCCCGCCTTTGGCCAAGATGGTACGGATGGATACGGCGTCTGATTAACCCAATTCCTCCACCCCGGCCACCCAGGGCTTCATCGAGGTGGCTGTCCCTCCCCCTAAGATCCTTCGTAACAGTGTCGCTTGCCCCGAACCCGAGGAGTACCGACAAGATTCGAGTCCGTCGGGGGGGTCTTGTTTGCCAGATACAGTGCGGGCCTGGTCCGGGGTGACTTCCAGCATGTCTTCGCTGCCTCGCCGCGTACCACCCCGCCGACGTCGGAATTGGCCTCAGTCTGATGCTCCGAAGGTCTCTTGCACTCCCAGGTTGTAATGGTTTGATTTGAATAAAGGGATGCACAAGGATAGCATGTCGACAAAGAGAAGAAGAGTTGAGTCACAGCAGATACCGCGTCCATGTACACATGATCCATAATACCCCATCGCCAACCGTAGAACCTGATAAGCAAAACGCCCAGTGACAATACAGACCTTCGTCTAACCAAGCGTCACGCAGCTACACGGTATGATCCAATTATTTCCATTCTCTCCCACCCGGGCTCTGAAATCCATTCGCCAAAAAAGAAAAAAAGAAAAAAAGAAAAAAAAAACCCCCCCGTTCCACGCCAAAATCCAAGCCAAGTATGGTGCTCTGTAGCTCGTACAGCATCGTGACGGCCAAACTGCGCCAGGGAATTCGCCTCGGCCTACGCTTCAGAACGTGACAAGCATACATGGCTGCCAGAAGCCTCTTCATCTTGCGCGGGAAGCGTTAGCGCCTGTCTTGTCGTTTGTCAAGGGCACATACTGTTGACCTGAGCTCTTCCCTTCCTTCTTCTTGCCACTGCTCTTCTTGGAGGCATGTTTGCTTTGTCCTCTTGTCTCTATTCGAGGAAGGAGGCCGTCGAATATGATAGGTTGGTCGTACGATTTGCTCCCATCATCAGGAGAGGTGCCCTTGGAGCTGCTGCCGCCGTGGGAGTTGTTAGAGTCCATGTTGTTGCTCGACGTCCTCAGGGCCTCAATCTACATGTAGGCGGTTGTTATTGGTTGTTTCAGTAGATACCTGGATGGTTTTGACACGTACTGTAGTCTCTTGGAGTATGCGAAGGAGGTCGTGAACTTCTTGCGGGGTGTATCTTGTCTGAATGAGTGATGCTTGGGGAGATGAGGTAGAACTCGTAGAGTGTTGAAGACGCTGTTGCTCTTTCTCGCTCATTCTGAATAAAAATCTGCGCCGACTTTATATTTCCGGTCATGTATAGGCAGAAGCGAGGTTGTATACGTCGCAGGTCTTCAAGGGTGAGGTCAGGCTCATGGCGGAGGCACTTTGGATAGTTGAATATTCATCCTGCTGGGGCGAAGCTCGCAAGAAGGGGCCCCGAGAAACGGAAGGCCTGACCTTCGCGGTATGCGTAATGACGTTTGGTCGTATTCTAGACAGGGTTATCGGCTGCCATCGTTGGCTCGCATCCAGTCCACACCCCCGCCGCAGGTATAAGGCAGGCAACATAGGGTTTGCCGGGCACGGTCAATCAGAAACCTGCCTGACCATGATCCCCGGTTCTGTGGCTGGAACGTGTTACCCACGGGAAAGAACTTTGGCAGCTATAGGTGTAGAACGGTCAAGTTGTGAAGAATTAACTCGAGGAACCCTGGGGCCGCGTCCGGGCTGCCCCCAAGACGTCGACTTCACAGCCATCGCGGGAGTGCTCCAATGCCGCAACCTTGCATCGACGTAGGGCTGACGCTTGGGCCAATGTCGAGACCCATATCCGGGCCCAGCTGATTGGAACAGAAACGTCTTTGTCTCTGTGTGCTCGTGGCAGCCGTCTAGATCCCGTCCCAAGTTGGTACGGGGCCGACTTGACCACGCCGTCATCTGCACAGAATGCGACCACTGCCGCCGAGATAGACGCAGCCACGCGCTTATCTTTATCCAACTCGTGTCCGAGATCATCGAATGACACCATAGACAGGCCGAAGCTTTGCCACTCGCCGGCATGAGTTGTTCTTGGCCTCGGCAGTACTTTATACGGTCTCGTACCCAGTACGAGTATCCAACTAAGTCAGGGGAGCGTCGCTATCGGTTACATAGCCTTCTTCGTATCGTCCCCGAAGCATATGCGATGGGGTTTTTGTGACTCTAGGCAGTCAGCCTCAGACGGGCTTCTTCGAGGGTTCCCTGCGACTGTGAAGGATCCGGCAGCCTGGAGGGGGAGAGAGAAAACACACCTCGCCGAAACCCAACAGACCTTGGAAGCCCTCGAACAAAGACTCATCAAGGTCAGCCAGGCAACAACTAGGCGCGCCCTTGCGTGGCAGTCATGGCTAGAACGCCTGATTATCCGACGGTATTGTGTGTTTTCCCCATCTCCCATGGCACGGCCACCCTTGGCCGAATCCCCTTTGCCCGTGAACCAGGGTAATGGGAACTGGCCATCCTTTCCGGCGGAAGAAGGCCCACCGAAACGGCCCAGGGGTACAGTTTGCTTTGTCCAAGTCGTATCGGTAACGGGGAGGGTGGATAAACCCCCAAGTAGGCCAAGCTTTGGATTTTCCGTTTCAGTCTTAGTGTGCTTGCTTGAATCTGTTTGCAGGGCTACCTACTACTGCAATCTTGCTCATCCTTCGCAGGGCAGCTCGCGACGTCACCAACGTCGCCAACGTCGCCAATTAGCGTAAGCTATCGTGCCATTGGCCCCTAGCTACTACTGCAAGCTGACATAGCGTCTGAATGGCTAGGTGACCTTGTCGCCATGCTGCCTCGTCAAGCGACCGGTTCTTCAGGCCTGTCAAAAGTCCTGAGCCAGGATGCCAAGATCAAAAGTCCATGGAGTATTCCACCCTCAGTACCAGGAGACACTCTCTTATCAGACACATACCCTGAAATGTAGTCCTGTGTATTGATATTGTTAGATGGGAGATGGTGCTTCTTCTGCCTCGGCATTCGGGCTGTGGAGTGCAGGTATTTGGCCCGTATCTAACTGCTTCTGGTAAATGCACCTACACAAACAAAGTCGAAGCTTTTGCCCCATATACTCGCACTCGCGTAAGTAGTGTGTAGGCGGGAGGATTGTCGACAGGATCGACAAAGAATTCCAAATGCCCTGTCTTCATCCTTATCCAAACGCTATTCGTCCTCCATTTGCCGGCGAGATAGGTGGCGCAACACCGTCTTCTACCAGCCACAGCTCGTTGCTGATCGCTGACTGCTGCGAAGGAGAGAGCGAGTGTCGGGGAGTACAGCAAAGGGGTCTGAGAGACGCCAGCGATTCGGCGGGCGTGTCTGACCGTCGAATGCGTTGCACTACCGCCCATGGAAGATCGATGCCTGGTAGCAAATACAAGTTGTCTGCGCTGAGCCACTTCTGTCATGCAGCAGGGGCTATTTGTTGTCGCGGTGAAGACGGAGAAGAGTGATATAGGGCCGAATGCAACCCCCATCAGGCTTGCATTGGGGGCGGGAAGATGGAGCCTTGCTGGGCTTAGCGACGCGCCTGCTTACCCGCCAAATCCCCTTTTCCCTCCATTTCAAATAGCATATCCACCGCTTTCCCCGCGTCCACTGAATAAAGTGCCTGTCGTGGTTCGATAGGATTTCGACAAAAGACCACTCCAGACTGACCGGACTTGGCTGGCGCCCACCTCCATATTGAGCTTGTTGCTCCTTTGAACTCGGCAAACAAACGGGACGAACGTCGTGAAAGCCTTCATCATGGCTGGCTTCGCCAAGAAGGCGCCGTTCGATCTCGGATCTAGTCCCGGCAAGTCAGCAAAACCCAGCAAGAGACTTCCCGCTGAACTATGGGAAACGAAGCGCCCAATCATCACTCGACTGTACCAGGAAGAAAACAAGTCGTTGAAGGAGGTCATGGAAATCATGCAACGCAAGCACCATTTTGTCGCCACGTACGTACAACCTGTCACGTTTTCCGTATTTTCCTCACTAGCTGTCGCAGAGTCAAGATGTACAAGTCGAGGATATGGAAATGGGGCCTTGATAAGAAGCTCAAGGGCGACGAGGTCCTGGCTATCATGCTTCTCAAGCAGGATCGAGACGTACTGAAGAAACCGACGGAATTCAGGATACGAGGTCAGCTTGTGGATTTGGAGAACATTGGCCGGTATCTGAAGCGCAACCCGTCGGTCATGGCAAAGTTCAAGGCAGGACAGATTCCCAGTGCGCAGACTGCCCTCGAGGTGACTTGTCGGACTCCTTCGCCGCCCCCGAGCCCGTCAAGAGTATTGGCACCGACGACGGAGATGCAGAGTACCGAGCAAGTGCTGTGCTTGTTCCGGGATTATATTGATGGGTCCTTCTCCTCCGGAGCCTGGCTGTGCGAGTTCGACGTAGACTGTTCGAATGGTCGGTTCGACCAGGGAGACCGCAGCAACGATTTGTTCGAGAGGGTCATTGCAAGCTTTGCTCTGGTGAACCGCTGCATGATGACAGGTGACCAGATCGACCTCAATGATATTCTTGGCCCGGCCTTTGAATCGCTCAAGGAAATAGTCGCGGCCGAGAGCCCGAGTTTTGTGGCTCGGACGGTTTGCTTGCTCTGGTACCTGGACCGACACCACAAGCATGACCTCCTGAGGCTGGTCCTCGACTATCTCACCGGGCTCGTTCCAATCGTCTTGGGGCCCCATCACAGCCTTGCTCAGATTTGGCGGAGATTGGGCTCGAGCAACTTTTCGGATTATTACGAGCTTTCCATGCGGCTATACGCACTGCTGATTCCGGATATCGAGGAACGCGCAGGGTCAGCCAGCTACCTGACGCACCTACTTTACAGCGACTACCTGGACTGTATGTTCGCCCGCAAAGACGCCGAAGATTGTGAGGCGATGCTTAGAAGCCACCTCGCGCGTGCTGAGGCCTCGGGGCAAACGCAACCCTGGCTGGATGATATGGCTCTTTCACACGCAGGCTTGCTTGCAGCTTGCAAGGAGAATCAAGGGAGGCTGGACGAGGCAGTGGAGGTGCTGACGATGCACATGAATGCGTACAACATGACGGAGGAGCAGGAAGCGGCTGTCAACCTGGAAATCGGGGTGAAGTATTACCGGATGAGCAACATACCGGCAGCAATAGCATCTTTCAAGTCGGCGGCTCGTATCGCCCTGACTTCGGACGCAGACGAACGGATCTCAATGACGGCATTGGCGAACTTGGAGAATCTCCTGCAGCAGACGAACAAGATGACCGAAGCAGACCGGGTCCATCAATACCGACTGCAGCGGCTTTCGGCGTTTGCGGAACAGTCAGTCTCGATATCGAAGGGCTTGTGTGACATGGACGGCGACGACAACAGCGATGGAACTGGCGATACAGAAAATCTGCCAGATTGGCTATGGGACTGCGACTACCGTGAAGAAAGCAGCCCAGGATGGTCCGAAATGCCACATTTCGACTGGGCTGAGAAGGCATCCACTGCCTCGTACACTTGGGCTCCTGGTAGCGTTCTTGAGACGGAATGGACGAATACGTCTCAGCCAGTGTCGCCCATCATCACGCTCTCAACAGAACACTCGCCTTTCTTGAAGGACATGATCGCCGATCCCAGAGTTGAGTACCTGTACAGAGACGACGGAGGGTTTTCGGTAGACGTCGTTGGTGTGCCGGACATGGTGTGATGGGCAGTGGTTCAAGGTGGCGCAATGCCCAAGCCCCTCGATTGACGCCAGTCTAGGCTCCCAGGGCCGTCTATCGCCTTGGATATACAAGACTCAGACGATGGTTCGTTTTTCAGATGTGTGATTTACCGAAATGCTCCGTTCTGCGCCTATCGAATGGGACTTCTGGCGCTCAAGGGACAGCGAGTCTTTCGGATTCTTGGTCATGATGCCCAAGGCGGATGAAAGGCTCGATGCATCTTTCAACGGTTGCCTATCCTCAATCAAAAGACGACCTGCGTCGAAAGGCAAACCGACCGTTGGATAAAGTTGACCAAAACTATGGCCAGAGCCGAGTTGAGGGCTCGTGCTGGGCGTCTTGAAGTCATCATCATCATCATCATGGGGAATATCGTCAGGATACACATGACTTCGAAGTTGGCGGTAAGTAGCTCGCCGAGAAGGCATTTCTCTGCAAAATGTGGTGCATCGAAACGGGAAGAGAGGCGCTTGATGTTTGGGAAGGAGATACAAAGGAAGAGAGAAAGAAAGCAAGAGCCCTCCACCCCTTTCACTTACCATAAATACCACATGTGCAGGCAGGAGGGCGAAATAGCTCGGATGAGAGGGCAGGAATGAGTGGAGTACAAAAATACATAGCTACAAACGACGACGAAGAAGAAGGGAGAGGCAGCAGCACACTTGCCTCATCGATCATGGAAACACGCAAGTGGGAATAAATAGCAAGACGAGTTGGAGGCGATGTAATAAATTCAAAGATACCAATCAGAAGAGACGGCCAACAACACCCGCAAGAGACAACAACCGTGTTGCTTGCTTGTTCTCTCCACAGCGACATATCTGTTGTCGTCATTCATATTATGGATGTTGCCTTCATCGCACCTGTCACCCTAAAGGAATGAGCCGGCGTTCTCTCTTTCTCTCTTTCTCTTTGTGGCGAGGAAAGAGGGAAATGAGAAGGAGGAGAAGAAAAAAAACGGCAAACAGGCAGGCAAGCCCCGCTTCGACGAGGACGCCTTCCCGCTCTGTTGCTGCCTCAATTAAGGTAGGTAGGTAGGTAGGTGCCTAGGTAGATAGGTTGGCAGGCACCACCTCGTCTCGTTACTACCTGCCACCTCACATTGTACAAACTTTACCCTTGCGCAGCATATACTTGTGAGGGCATCTACACAAAATAGCCTCGCCGAGCCGAATTACCACGCTGTCCATCCTGCCCACGACCGGGCACACCCAAGGCAGACGGTCGCCGGAACATCCGTCCGTGTCGGCCTCCAAAGAAGAAACCAACCCCCCTGCATTTGCTTTCTCTCTCCGTCCGAACTCCGATCCATCCCGATCCGCCTCCGCCTCCGCCTCTGCCTCCGTGCTCGCCCTAACAGCACTATGACCCGCCCCGGTGACAGACGCCCCGGGGGGTTCGTGTCCTGCCCTGACTCGAACACTGCCGATCTTCCTGTCAAGAGCGCTTGGTCCATACCTACAGACGTCATCATGCGTCTTGGTCATACTGGGAGATGCTGAGTGACACATCATCCCAGAGCGTTGACATTACACTAGATTGCGGCATTGGTGGACGGCCCTGGTGTCACTCAGACGGAATGCACCAATAGCTTGCGCCCATTGGCCATCGTGCACGCATGTAGCCAATCGACACCATCCCTGGCGAACGTAGAGCGGAAAAGGGAATAGGCAGGGAGGGGATCAGAGCGGCGCGCGGCGACGACGTCGCGATGCGCACAGAGGCACAGATACAAAACCTTTGCGATTATTTGGCTCGGGCATCGAAACGGAGAACGTAGCCGCAGGCACAGTGCTGACTGACATACGGATACACTAGGACTACCTGATAAATATTGGCTAGAGATAAGAAAGACGACTCTGCAGTGGCCTAACTCTCCTCGGCCCCCAGTTGCGTCGTTTGAAGCAAAGACCAGCAGGGAAGCGAAGCATTGACAGCACATCACGTCGGCTGCCGAGCGAATGACTCGGGGACGACGGACGCTGTAGGTCATACGCACCAGAGGCTTGCCACGCGACGCAGGTATTGTCGACTGTCTAACACCAGTACATGAATGGCATGCAGTGTTAGCCTCTGAGCTGGATAAAATAGATATGAGTTGACTAACAGTTTCTTAGTCCTCTGCAACGGATTTGGACTACACGACAACGATACCAGCACGAGACGACATATGGAGCTGCTGGAGGGCGCATGCTTGGTGCGAGACTGGCAACAGCGGCGATGACGACGGTGCCGGTTTATCAAGAATCGGCCCGGTAAGCTGCTTGACTCGCTCGTAGGACTGAATCTCATACCCATACGCATGCGAAAACTCACGGCGGTCACTAGTGTTCTCAGTAGGAACGGAGAAGAGCGCGCAGACAAGAGCCGAAATCGTTGGCAAATGTGGTTGGCATCTCAGAAACAGGCCAATGACTGGATGCAATAACAAGCAACCCAAGCGTGCATCAAACGAGGCTCCAAATCTCCGAGTACTCGGTCTCGTTACGAGTGGCACCCGGGACGCACGACAGGACCAACACGAACCAGGTTCCTCACGTACAGGGCTAGTGTATCCGTAGACGGGACGAAGACAGGGAACAACGACCCAGGCTCAACCAGTCGACCGGTGTAACCGTGGACACTGGATCCATGGTAGTGGACACAGCTGGATGGTGGGAACATGCCGTATCCAAAGCAGCCCAAGGGGATTGTTCTACAAGCCTTTTACGCCTTTGGGGGGGGGCCTCGACGCCATAAGCCACGGTGACCTGGACTACCTACACGAGGGAACAGAAGCACCTCCCCCTTTGTCTTTTTATTATTTCAAACGAAACCCCTGTTGTCCGTCCGTATGGGATATCCACGCTGCCTGACGCACGGGTTGCAGCTCGCGGGGTTTCCACCTGGCGAGAGGGAAATCCACTGTAACGTATTATCCGATGGGTACGGCACCGACACACAAGATTTAGGAACCATGGATGAGCCACGAGGCAAATTGGGTTCTAGGTTCTTTGCGGAGTTGGTGAAATTTGACTTCATTTTCGTCCATTGAGTCCAAAGACACCGGGCACTGCTCAACGGGGAAGCATTGGAACCGGGCCTGGCCCTAGAAGGTTTGTTTACCAGGATGGAGAAAGGGCCCCAGACGGCTTTCCCGGTGGTTGTAGGTAGGTACTTTGGAGAGAGCAATATTTTGTTTGTCTGGTTTTGGGACGGCGACGTGTGGGCGTAGCAACAGCGCATGGCATCTAGCCTGAAGTCGGCTAGGGTTCTACTTTAGCATGTCAGTAGTTGCAACGGCACCGTTTGGCATAGGCATCCATGGCGGCTGACTGCATGGCGGCGAGTGGCTGCATGCCCAATAAATGGCAGACAAAGGGGTGCAGAATGCCGAATTGCCGTCAGACGGCCTTCTGGACGTGTGGCTACCGGGGGGGGGGGGGGGGGGGGGCGCCAGAAGAGAAGATCTAGGCTCTTGGAACAAGCAAGCGCTCGATCCCCTATGCAGACACGGACTGTGTCGCGCATTGTCAGCCGTCACCGGGCGATCTGACGCCGGTACTTTGTGGTTTGGGGCTGGCGTCGGGTTCAAGGACAACGGAAGACGAGGTGAGGTGTGCCCGAAAGATATGGTGAGCGGGAAATGAGCGAGAGTAAGCGAGCAGCGGCGGCGCAGTGAGCCCCCCGGATTGGGTTGTATCGGCTCATTTTCTGGGGGGGCAAAAGGACCAGAGAAAGGGTTGCCAGCTGGAGGACGATGGGAAAGGAGTTGTGGATGGATGGATGGATGGATGGATGAATTGATGGCAGTTTGTTGAAAGGCGAGTCTAGTTCATCCAACCACCCGTTCTCGTCCGTACCTTGATTGCAAAAACTGATTCATCGTTTGCCGGGTAAATGTGGAACCATGTTCGTTCAATTAAACCCTCCATCCCACGCTGTTCGCAGGCAGCAGCAGGGTGAGCAGCAAAACAAGGCATGTATATGCATGTATGGTTATCTAAAGTGGAATTATATTGAAGCCCCATTCGACGTTCGGGGAGTATCAGTGCCTAATCTTGCAGGGAAAGAGGAGGGAAGGCAGGAGAGAAAAAAGCAAATAAAGCGAAATGAGCAGAAACATTGGAACAAGAGGGCGGCTGTCTCTCTCTCTCTCTGGACGTAGGTAAATCAATCAAAGCACGAGTGTACTCCGTAATGAGGAGAGAGTGGGCTGGTGTGGGATCCGCAGTGCCGTTCATTCCATTCCGACCCGTGACAGCTGCGGAAAGTAATATCTCGCACGCTGCAAGCAAGCCCGATAGACAGGTAGGTATTCCAGGGAGGGGGAGGGGGGTCTGGTACCCGGTCGAGGCGAGGACGGAACGCTCGCAGCCTCTCTTCCCCCCCCCTCCCCCCCCCTTTTTTTTTGTTTTGGCTTGTTTTGGCTTGTATCCCTGGGTCTCCTTAATGCTCCTCGATAGGCAAGACGACGGACGGGAAGCCAGGCGTACAGATACAGATACGGATAACCGTGACGAGGCAATTATCGAATGTAGTCTAGGTAGGTCTACTAGGTAGCTACCCACCACCTACTTTAGGTATCCGTATGTAGAGTGGGTGGTCAATTCATCCCGGCGAGATGCCATCGGCTGACTAAGATGAGATGCCCCCACATGTGCTTAGCTAGTATCCGTAGCGCCTATCTGTACTTGTACATAGAGGACTGGCCAATCATGTCATGTGACTCAAACACCACTCGTGGAGCTAATCCGCTTGTGGATCCGTTTCGAACGTCCGGCGCTGTCCCTCTGGTGCTTTGCAGCTGTCCCCGGCGAATGTCATGTCCGTCCGTTCCGTTCCGTTCCGTTTCCTACGCCTGCCTCTCTTTACCCCCCTCACCCCCTCGCTCTCCAATTCTTTTCATTCTCCCTACGAATGCCTACGGATACACTGTATCGCCGATCCCTTTGACCCTCATCCCCTATATACAACAATTGCCCGCCAGGCACATACGACA